GACAAAAGCTGCATTCTCTCTGCCATTTTTTCTCCATCCTTTTTTGTGCAAGCTTGTCTTTTGTCTGTGCATACATAAACCATGGAAAAGCTTCAGTTTCTGAATGATCACTAGTGATAGCTTTTGGAAAACAGCTATTTGAACCTACTACTTACATTCACTTTGCAGTGGTATTGCTTAACATTTCTCTTCTACAATTCTATTACTACAGAGACTATTTCTGACAACACTGAGAATTCTGGAACCACTCAAACAAGGTCAGCGCATTTATAAACAAGGCTTTTTATTAATAAAATGTTTACACCTTTTTTGCACAATACATTGGACTGGTAGTGATTTAGCATGTTATTACACTATAAAAGTTTATTATGAATGCATAAGCTGAAAATGCAGTTTACATTATGCCAAACCAACATTTCTTAATCTTCGTTCTATGCACTACATGGGAGTATAACAATACAAACTAAAAGGAGAAAACTAAAGTCTGGTTTTCCTCATTAGCATCTACAAACCAACAATACAGACAAACCTGTACACGCCCTCGGGACCAGCCCAAGAGAAGACTAGAAAAGTCTCAGAACATTCATTAGCTTGGGAACTCATCACTGTACGATTTCATCACTCGTGATCTGACTACGTTTCATGCAGTGAAGCAATGGTAGTAAATTTGTGCAGTTTACAGTGCTGCAAATGCTCTGTAACTTTGAGCGGCTTTAGTTTGTTGCAGTAAGAGACACCACAATAAGAAGGCACAGATCCTTCCATCTCTTTACCAGGTTAACTCAATACCATAAGGAAAAGGCAGATGGTTCTTAAGAGGGATAACAACTGCTGATTCCAAAGTTAACCTTCACGCTTAATTTTACAGGCATGCATTTATTACACCGCAAGAGCTAAATGCACATCAGGTGATCCTTGTGCCCCAAATACACAAATGCAAATGTAAAGATTTTGTTTAGACACTTCCAGAATGATTCCCTTTTTTCTTCATCATACTGGGAAATGAGAGGGTGCAAAGGGGAAGATTGCCAAGAAGTCTTAAGTGTCTTACAGCTAAATATCCTCCATTTCTGAGTCTTATGTCAATTCACTGTGCCACAGTTTCAATGCTGGATGCACTATATTCAGAAATAGCAAGTACAAAAGAAGTTAATCGTTTCTATACTTCACATGATGCTGTTAGGCTTTACAATAATTTACTTCCTCTAGACGAAAGTGCTTCTTGCCCTCTCATCTAGTATAGTGAAGCAGTGCTACTTGTCTCAGCTGCTATGATTCACAAATATTTGCTGCTATGACAGATATTTCTCGAACTCTTGAGGAGAAAAAGACACTTGTCAACTTTTCTTGGCCAAATCCCAGAAGGACACAAAGAATAAATAGTCAAGAAAACATAATGGATTTAATAACAGGAAATTCACACTGTGACAAAATGAAGCAAGAAAGCAGCAGTGAATTTATCAAAGGTTTGCTGCATCTCAAACCAAAGTGCAACAACTGGATGGTGTCTTCTGTCCATACAAATGAAAAGAACAGCACAAAAGCTTGTCTGTATCCTTCAGCATTAGAACAGGAATAGCAGTTGGTTTGTTCAGTAACTTGTGTTTAAAAACATTGACAGGAATGAAAGAAAAACCCAATTTTCTTGAATAAAGCAGTTAGTGTTTCAGCAAAAACTTAAAGCTCCTCACTTGCAGGATGATGCAACGGGAAGAGCAGAACCATTTCTTCTAGGAAATTTCTGTTTTAGAACAAGGACAGTTTCAGTAAATGCTGTAGCAATTTTTAGGGGGCCAAACTCATCTTAGTGCCTTGATTTTCCATGCAAAATAGGAGGCATCAAATAACTCTGAGCTACTAGAACTCCTGTAAGGATTTTGAAATAGCTGTTTACAGAATGTACACCTAAAAATTGAGGGGAAAACTGTGAGGAGTTTGAAGGAAAGGATGACTTTAACACGTCAGAGACAAAGCCCATCAATATGCTCAGGATAGTCTCACGTCCCTCAAAAAACCTAACGATCAGTGACACTTCATGGACAGTCTGGTAACACTTATTCGATTTTGGCAGGTCAAACATTTTTGATCCTAACTGATAAAAAAGAGTTTGCATGCAAATTTTCAAGATTACCAGAAGATCAAAGGGGATTTTTTAAAAATAAGACGTCAGAAGGCCTAACAGTTACAGAGAAAAGTGTTTTGGCACTTGAACACTTGCATAAGAAACAAAGATATAGTTTGAAGCTTCTTTCTTTCGTCGTGCTGGAGTCATAGAACTCTAAAAAGGTCAGCTGATGTTCTTCTGTTCTAAAACACTGCTAAGAAATATTAGATTAGTGATTGACAACAGATTCTTATTTTGCCTAACATTAGCAGGGATGTGATCTACTAACAGAGATGTGATGTGAACATAGAATAGTTCAGGAAAAGACCTATGAAAATCACTGAGTTGAACTGAACACTTCAGGGCTAACCAAGATTTAAAGCACAGAAAAACATTCAGGCAGGTTTTGAATATCTCCAGAGGAGACTCTCTGGGCAGCTGTTCCAGTGTTCCCTCACCCTCAAATTAAACATTTTCTCAATTCCATATGGAACTTCCTGTGTTCCCATTTTGCCCACTGCCCCACATCCTGTCGCTGGGCTCCACTGAAAAGAGCCACTTCATCTGCCCTGAAGATATTTATAAGGGTTGGTAAGATCCCCTCTCAGTCTTGTCTGTAGTTCTCTAATGCCAGTAAAGGATTCCTGAGCCAATTTTGATGTATGGGTAAGAACTTGCAGAGCCCAGAGCTGCACACAATATCCAAGGTGAGGCTACAGCAGCTCTAAATATGGCAGGAGATGCACCTCTTGACCAGCCAGCCATGCTGTGTGCACTCCATAACACAGTTTGCTCTCTTGGCTGCCAGGACACACTGCTGGCTCATTGTAAGCCTGCTGTCACCAGCACTCCCAGGTCCCTTTCTGCTGCTCTTTCCAGCTTCTTGTCTCCCAGTCTGTACCTGCACATGGCACTGCTCTGCCCCAAGTGCAACACCCAGCGTTCTACTGTTGCTGAAATTCATGCCACTGCCAATCACCCAATGCTCCAATCTATCTAATCTCTCTGCAAGGTCTCCTGTCCTCCAGGCACGAGCACCTCCCAGTTTATTGTTGTCAGCAAATGTGCTGAGATTGCATTCCACTCCTGCACCCAGGTTGTTGATTAAATGGTTGAGCAGAGCTGGCTCTAGAAGTGAACACTGGGAAGTGCTAAAGACTGGCCACCGACCAGACGTAGCTCCTACAAACCTTTCAGTTCTACTGAATCTACAAACCTTTCAGTTCTACCATCAAGCCAGTTTATCAACTCAGTTGGACAGTTTGTCCATAAGGATGATGTGAGGAAAAGCATCAAAGGTCTTATTGTGATCCAGAAGGACATCTACTGCCTTTCCCTCACAGACCAAGCAAGTGGTCTGCCACTGAAGGAGATCAAAGCACCGAGGCAAGGCTTTCCCTTTGTGAACTCACGTTGTCTATGCCTGATACTTACTGTCTTCCCAAGCACACAGATTTATTTATTTTTCTTGAGCAGGCTGGTAACATTAGATTGTGTTACATACACCAACATATTAAAAATGAGTTTAAGCTGAGCACCCCTTCTAAGCTGTTATCTGCCTGATACTGTGGCACTTCCAGAAAAGGTCTCACTGAAGTCAGGAGGGATTTAAAGTGCAATGATTTGTTTTGCTTCAACATGTATCTAACAATATAAAAAGTCTTTACCTCCCTGTCAACAGCAAAAGTTGTCAGAATTCTCCTAGAACTTGTTAAAGCACCTATTACAAGTTTCAGTAGTTTGGCTACTAAATGCCTCTGTGTTTTGTTAAGCACAAGCTTCCACATTTCACCTACCTAGGCACTTAGCATGCCAGCTTTAAACACATATATAAAATACACTACAAAACTACTCAGCACGGATCAAGAGCATCACAGGTCATTTAAGAGACAGAGAATTCATGGGGAACGATGAAGACCCCTCTCCAAAACTTAGGCAGCACATTGAAGTAGCTCCAAAACTAAATAATAAACTATTTATCAAATGACGTTTTTGTACAGATCTATCCTTTCTGAGCAGAGAGTTGGTACTGTTTAGAAGCAGAAATAGTAATGTTCTGTCAGTTAAAAAAATGCTCCAGATCAACGCTATCACACAGCTCATTAGCTTTTTACAAACCTGATGTTTGCCCCTTCAAAACACTTTGTGCAGCAATCACTTCCCTTTTATAGCATTTTAAAATCCAGTCTCTGTGATAAGTGCCATTCATTAAAGAGAAAGGCAAACCTCAGGACTTCAGTTTTATTCCGCTATTTCAACAACTCCTTCACAAAATTATTAATAAGTTAGCTGAAATGGTTGATCATCAGTATTTCAAACACTCAAAGGCTAATCTGCCCCCAAATAGAGAAGTTACGTTGGGACAAAATATAATTAATTTCAGCAAGCCTAGGACAAAATGGAAGCAGATGGCCTAAAACTAATACAGAAGAAACCATTTTCCTCCAACGAAAATGAGACACTGAACGTGTGTGTCTCATCCAGAGAGGACTGCACATCAGCTTTCAGCTAAAGCCAACTGCTCAACAAACAGTTATCTTGGCTCAAACCAACTTACATCAACAGTCTGTCATTTTACATAGGCACAGTCTTTAAAAGCAGTTTCACTTCAACATTTGGGCAATCTGAAACAATGGCCTTTCCCATGGTTCCACTAACTGGAGTAATTCAAGATCAGAACTGCAAGAAAGATATGAAGTCTGCTTTTCTGTGTTTCCTTCAGAGAAAATACTTCAGATGATAGAAAGCCAGACTGCAAACAGAACAAACCTCATTTTCACACTAAAGCTTAACAACATATTAGCATGTACTTGATTACTTGAGTCTTTTAAAGAACCTCAACAGTGCCAGTAGGAAAGAAAAAAGCGAAAATAAAACTAAAAAAAGCACAAAAAGGTATGGTCAATCTATGGTTTAATTGCAAGCACACTAAAACCAACACAATAAGCTAAACATTGAATTTGAAAGAAAAAAAAAAAAAGAGAGAGAGAGAGAGAGAGAGAAAGAAAAAGAGCCCCACCAAAACAATAAAAGAAACAAAACCCCAACCCTAGCAGGTAAGAAAAAAGCCCAGGAACTTAGAGGTAATGATCTACATCACCACGTGTCTTAAGGTTACTTTTTATTTGCACTTTTGTGCCCAAAGCAAGAATGATTGGGTGCACCAAGATGAAAACCTGTTCAACAGACAGACCTCACACTGTACCAACAGCAGCCTCTATTGGACCTTTCAAACGTGATTTAAAGAGAACTAATTTCAGCCTGTCTCTGGAAGAAATTACAGCAACGATATCTAAAAGATGGTGGAGAAAAAAACCTGATGGAGAACCCCAGGAGTGCATGTGTAGGTGTGGAATGGAAGGAGCAAATAAGACTGCAAATTTTTAAAGACTGTTTTTACATAATTTATAATATTTTAAACACTGGTCTCATAAATATAATATGAACACTTTACACATGCTAAGCAGTTAAAGGCTTCCCCCAGATCTTTTAAGACTTATCAGAACTATTGGAAGCATCTGTTTACAGCATCTGCTTTTAGTCAGTAATTACTTCATTTAGTCAGAACTACACCTAGGCTTTCTTTGACCAACAGCTTAACGTCAAAAACTTGTAACAAGATGCCTATGAGCATATCAGTTTGCCTCAAAATGATTAAGTCAGCACAGAAAAAAAGATTGTCCGTGGTTTAAGGTGTGTTGCATGCGTCCCCACCCCCGCTGCTTATCTTTAAATAAAAAGTGCAAATGGGTCCTGGGGAGTGGACGGACTGATCTGACTGTTATCTGCCTTCATTTGCTTATTCTGTAGCCACCTCAAACACAACTGTCCCACTGTACTTTGGATTAGCTACACTTACATTTCAAATAAGGCTCACTGAAGAAAAGAAGAAGCGACATCTCACTAAACTTCAAAATCCAGACTCCTTCCACCCACCCCCAAGTCCCACAAAAGTGCTCGTTTTCCTTTTTACAAAAACACAATCTCAATTACAAAACTACTAAACATTTCAGTTCAACCATTCATAGTCAGCTTCCTTTTAAGCAAGGCCAAAGAAGTGATGATGGATTCCCTTTGAATGCAAGAGATACTACAACTTTTTGTAAGTAAACAGGCTGACATACCATGGCAGTCTTTTCTGCGAGCATACAGATGTCAGATGAACTGGTCCATTTTTACTGGACCATGGGCGTATGAACACCAGCAGATAGAGATCTAAGACTGATAATATAAATCCAACATGAACTATTAACTTCCAAGACCACCTACTGTATAAACAAGTCTGATTTTCAAATGGACCAGTCAACAGCAGCTGCGCTTTGTCACCGATGGCTGTCTTCTAAGTTTGAAGCCCTTACCACTAGATGGGGGGTTGGTGTCAGTTGATGGGATTCTACGACCTACAAGGAGGCAGAAAAAGACATTTATGGCAAACATATTTGAAACTTACTCTTTTCATTCAGTGTACGTCAGGTCATAACGTCATTAGTGCAGAACATAAGAATGGCAGTTAACAGTCTGTACTGTGTTAGAAGTATGGATCCACAAATAAAAGTGAAGCAGCCTAAGCTAACTTCACGCTTCTGGCTAACCTTGTCTCAGAGTCCTAAAGCATAGGAGCATCCAGAGAATATACTCTGCAGGATGCAGTACCTTCTGGAAACTCTCTGCTCTTGATCTGCCTTTCCCCAGCAGACCACCTGCATCAGGCTTAACACCGAAATGCTTCTAAGAATAGCTGCTTCAGTCACCCAGCAAGCGTTTGAAGCTGACCATTCCTGGTTGAGCATTCTTCTTGAGAGGGATTTAAGAAATTATTCCATAGCTTACTCAACAGAAATTTTTAGTTTAGAGAACAACTATTAAAGTCAGTAAACCACAAAGCTTACATACAGGACATACTTTTGACATCAGCTTCAATATACTGAACTGCTTACAAGAACAAGAAAAGTCTTTTTATTTGAGAAACAGGCTATCTGTATACTGGTGCTGCTGCCTGAAACATATCCTACAAATAATACTTTATTCACTTAGGAATACTGTTTTTCATTCATACATGGAAAAAAGTGTTTGCCATCATCCTCTGCCATGAACGAGACAGAAAAGATTTGCCATTTAATTGAAAAGTGAGGTATCACAAAAATACTGCTGGAAAATACACACACTAGGTGCTCTTCCTTAGGCAGTAATCTATTATTTTCAGTTCTTATGTTTTTGAAAATGCATTACTTGGGACTAAGTACAAGCACCAAGAGTGAGAATTCAATTCATTTCATGAGATGTATGAAGTCTGGATATTCACCACACCATTTACTGTCCCTTCCATAACCTTGGAAGTATTAACTGCATCATTCAATTACAGACACAGTAAGATGACACTGACTGCTATTTATCCAGCAGCATGAAAGTACATGTAAAGTCCCTAGATGGAACCTTCAGAAGCCATTAGACCATGAAAAATATATGCAGCTCATTTTGCAGTTAGTATTAATATTTGGATGTCACACTTACATCAGGATACTCTTGCCTAAATAGCACAAAAAACAAGTAGTATCAAATTTCTACTTGAGCTGCTTGCAGAAGAACACATTACCTGTTTAAATACTTACTAATTTCTATAAAGAGTTCATTAATGTTTATTGCATTTTTCGCACTTGTCTCTACAAATATTGCATGAATGGAATCTGCATAGTCTTTAGCATCTTTTTCCATGACTTCCCTGAAAAGAAGCAAAGAAAGAACTGCATGTAGAAAAATACTTAATTCGGAACTTTAAGAGACTGATTAAGCTTTTAAGTGTCATGTTTAATGAGTATTTTGTATTACCTGTTTTGCATCACCCTGCTCCCTCATCCTGAAATTGATATCCATTTTTCACTGTGCTGTCTCCTTGTTTAGGGGCAGGAGCATCCCTAAAGCACAAACTAACAAGGCCATCTGACATGACAGTGGAGTTTCATTCTTGACTACTCTAAGTGTAGGTCTGCAATCAATCACTGGGAGTAGTTTATTTTTTCCCCACACATACAAATTTTAGACGCATTGAAAAGACCCTCATGTTTGCTCCCCTAATCCAGTGATTTCCTACAGCTGCTTAGAAAACCAGGCATCTCTCAGTGCTGCACAGATCATTAGCACAGCATTTAGTTTACACAAAGCAGTGAAGACACAGCTGGGAGCAGGAACTTACTGAGACTGTGCACACAACCACAGAAACAAGAAGTGAAAATAAGTATTTTACACCCTCAAGCAGGCAGGTTGCTAATGCAGTATTTCCTTCAACAACAGAAAAAAACCCAAACCAAACCCCAGCAAATAAAGAGAAGATTATGCTCTCCATGTCTTTACATAACGTTTCTAAAACACATAACTATTTTCAGTAACAAGAGACTTAGGACATCAGGACACTAGAACACTGCCTTCAGGACAGTGTCTCAGATATTGCCTCTCGTAAGGAGAGGAATCTTACTCATCACAAGGACTGTTACTCATTAGCTTCAATTGCAATGTTTACATGATTTACAGCTCCACCTAAGGACCAAGAAATAAGCGCAAGACTTCATACTGCATGCCTTACAATTGACACATAAATAATTTTATTCCATGCTGACTCCAGGGGACATGCTATTTCTATCAGGTTATTACAGCATGCTAGGTAACTAAAATATAGGAACAATTTGTAAAACTATACCAGCTTTGCAGTGGTTCTTTAAACACAAAACCATCTGTCTCTCATGAGACAGCAGCTGCAGTACCTTTTCCAATGAAAGCTAAAAACAAGGAGCTTGCACACACCTTCGTTCTGAATTCTGGGTTATTTAACCAGGATATGAATAATAAAGGGCTTCTTTTGTTTTTAATACATGCCTGCTTGAAAGTTTGGCTGTTCATAAAGTTTCTCAAAAACTTTTCCCACTCCCTGCAACCATTCAACCACAGCCAATTCCACCCTAATGCTTAAGCAGTGAGGGAAGGCACCTGAACAAGCAAGTCAGAAAAACCTACACAATGCTTTCCAACAGGCTTGATGTTTTTCATAACAAAATGAGGTGTTACAGATTGACAGGAGTACTTCTTATAAAAGGAGGTAAACAGCTTGTATTACACTGTAGTTTCATAGGCAGTTTTAAGCCTGTGTAACTTGGCACTGCCAGCAGAAAGGTAATCCTGTCTCCCTGTAAACTTCTCATTCGTAACCCTGCTACCCCTCCTCTGCCATGCCAGCAAGTTATCATGTTGTGAGTGAGATAAATACACATGGATAAGTTTTCCTTTTTAAAATTGGTTTGTTTTAATGTAGATCAATTTTACAGCCTGAGTTACTGCTAAATCACACATGTACTCACACCAACAAAGAGAAGGATGGGGGCAAGAAAAACAAAGGCAAACTAACCAAGATTTCTGGCAGTGGGAATAGCTCAGTCTCCTTGTGAAACTAAAATGGCTGCTCTAAATCTTTTACCAGCTTTGAAATCTTAAAACTAGCATCTTTAGCACTATTAGCTTGTCTCTCATAGGAAGGCTCCAAACTGTAACCAATTATTTACCTTACGTCGTTAAGATCACATTTATTTCCTGCAATAGCTACAACAATGTTTGGAGGTCCATGTTGTCGAAGCTCTTTAACCCAGTTCTTTAATGTTGAGAAAGTTTCCTGATGTGGCAGGAAAAAAACAGAATTAATTAGGAGCCAGAACTGCTTCATAACATGAAAAGAAGAATTGGCAATGCTGAGTAAAAAAACAATTGAATTTATTGAATTTCTTACCTCTTTCGTGATGTCATAAACTATAATGGCAGCTGCTGACCCTCTGTAGTACATTGGGGCTAAAGCACGAAACTAGAAAAAAAAAATAATATATTATGAATCTGATTTTTCACTGATCTCCTGAATTTGCTTCTTAATATTAAAATGAGAGAAAATTATTTTAAAATTTAACATTAGCACAATGCTTTTCTTTGCAGAGAACCAGCACAACAGAACATGTAAGCTTCCATAACAGCACTATTATGTGAAGGCCAACCAATAAATAGCTTGGGGATCACAGCACACCTACCATAAAAAGCAAGCAGCCCAACTTGATTTTGTCTGATCGAAAATCTCTCCTTTAGTAGGCCAGTTATGAACAGACAAACCCACAGGATATACACTCAACTTTGAGTGGAACAAAATCAAAATGGACTTTTTTATTCTTTCCAGTGCTTTTGGAAAAAGTAATTCAAGAAAGCTAATGTACTGATATCTGCTGATCTGAGCTGTTCAGAGGATCGTGGCAATCTCCATCCTTGCTGAAAAGTGGTTAAGTTGTGCCACTCATTAAATGCTAGATTAAGAAAAGAGCATTTTTAACTTCAGGCTTCAGGGATTTTGCTCAGGTTTTTCCTCAAAACTCGGAAACTTGAAGCACATTTAGAACTAAAAATGGCAAAAACACAAAGCTGTGTGATCCACTGCAAACAGACATTTAAGGAACATTTTGGATAATTAAAGCTTACAATAATGTTATTGCAATATTCAAGATTAAATCTACGTAAGATATATTCAGCTGGTTGTGAATTTGCAGGCTATAAACCAGGTCTGTACCTTCACATAATGTTCTGAATCCATCACAGCAAGAAAACACAGAAAAGGGGGGTACATGATTGAATATCTTTCCTCAACTTCCTAAATACCCAATGTGATATTCTGCTCATTAAAAAAAGAACCAGACAACTACTCTAAGAAACAGAACTCTCATGGAAGCAGAATTAGCTACACGTGCAGTTCTGATGTAACCATATGAACTCTGGTCTTCTGTGCATCTTGTTAGCAGGGAAAAAAATCATGAATAGAACACAGATTTTCATGAAGGCCTATGGTTCTTATAAAACATCAATTTCCTTTTGCTTAGTACAGTTCAACTGAGAGCAATATTATAAATCATGAAAGTTTTGGTATAAAGGAGAATTCCAGACCATTTACATTTGGCTCTCAAATTCTGTTTTGAAAACAGTATTTTGAACACAAAGTTCAGAATAGAAAAATATTTAATAATGGGAAAACACAGGCAGACATTCAGTTCACATTGGGGCATAATCCCTCCCCTCCACAAACACTAAAATGTAAAGGGAAACGTATTTGGTAAACCATCAGTTGGACTGGTTGCAACTTGGCTTTTTGATTATTTGACTATTTACCTTGGGAACAAACCAACTTTCACTCACTGATTTTGTAGTACTCTCATTTCCTGCCTGCTAACACTTAGATACATTTTTCCACTTAAGAGCAGTCAGCAGATAAAATACATTAACAAAACAGATGTTAACAGGAACACTGCATTTTCCTTTTGCTGTTTTTTCAAAGACTGCAGCTTGCCATCCTGACTGATTCGCATTTTGACAGAACTAAGATGTAATTTCTACAGTTAGGCACGAACATAAGAATCCTAACTCCTTTAAATAGCCTTCGTCCAACTTTACTCAGGGCAGAAGAAATGAGAGAACAAAAACAGCACAGGCATGTAGCTGTAGGTCCAGTGAATGAGTGCACATCTCCAGCACACAGCAATGCTAGCTTGCCACTCCCTGAAACCATGTAGAACAAGGGGCTGCCCCTATCTAGTCTGCTAATGGGATTTAGAAGTAGAAAATAGCAAGCACTCCCCCAAAAGCCAGGATCAGGAATTGTGTTTATAAGTATCATTTAGAGATTGCAATTCTTGAATGGTTTGGATGTTCTTGCTGTACCAGACCACCACAAATGGGATTCTTTCCAAGATGCACTGTCAGATGTGCTGCATGGCAAGAAAACCATGCAGCAGGTTTCAGCACAAGGCATGTATAAAGATCGGCTGTGACCTGCAGTGACAGTACTGGCTTCCTTGGAAGTATGTGGGCCCCACAGAAATTTCTCTGTGCCGTGGAATAGCCCTTACAGATACCACAGAACTCAGATCAGAAGCCAGGGTAAGTCATCCTTCCTTTTTGGATTAAAACAAAAAACAAACAAAACCAACAACAGTAACACCATACAACTTGAACAGAAGAAAACTAAAGAGATGTCACTTGGTCTGAAAACAAAGACACAGAACGTACTGGGCATGCACAGAGAGCTTCCTCAGATTGTAGCATGCTGAATCCAAACAGGATGGAATGCTAATACGTAATGGATGCTTCCTGCCAAGTTGTTGCAGGCACATTTGTAAGACTTTTTTTTTTTATTTTTATTTTATTTTATTTTTTTTTAAGAGTACCACTCTCTCAAAAGTCTCATTTCATTGCTTAGAAGCCTCACATTCAAACACTACCATTTCAGAATGAGCTCTGGTGTTCACATCAGGCATGCCATTAACAGTAGATGCTGACTGACTGCTGCAAATAGAAAGACTGGGACATTTTTGATAACATGCATACACACACAACACATCCCTGATGATGAAAGTCGGTTTTATATCATGCTGCTGGGAGGAAATCAGTAGTCATTTGGAATCCAGAGTTCTGAAAGCAATACAAATATACTAGAGTGACTTTCTAGACATCAAGTGTGTTACCACACTAAAAATCCAGCAAGTCAGTTTCACCAGGACTCCAGAAAGTCAAATGACTGCATGAAAATAACCGAGCCTTTACAAGACTATTTCTTTCCCCTGCTTTGTGGTTTGGGCTCGGGTAGGGTTGAAAAACATCACAAACTCAGAACGATATATGCAGACAGGATGAAAGATATTGATGCTACTTACCCGTTCCTGTCCAGCTGTATCCCAAATGAGGAATTTATGCAGCTCATTTTGATACTGTACAGTCTTGGTCATAAATGAGGCTCTGGAAAATATGCCAAAACATCATCTTAGAACACGACCACCATGAACTGTTAAACAGGTTTCTTTTTCAATTAAATTGCTTTTCCTCCCTAGATGCAACTGATTACAATTTTCATATATAAATATTGAAACTGAGGCAAAAGGCCCCATTCAAAGGACGAAATTCAACTAACAAACCAGAAGAAACAAGAATGCAGGCTGTAAGTCTTTTTATAAAAATAAAGGATGTATGATGACAAAAAAAAAAAAAAAAGGCAGAAAGGTCAGCTTTCTCAACAACACTTTTCTTAAAAGAGGAGTTGTTACCACGGATTATCTGAACGTGTACAGGATGCTTTTGGAGGGTAAGAGATCAAAGCCTCACCCTTGGCATCAGCTTTTTTTTTCTTTAACATCTCGGTACTAAAATTCAAATGAATTCTTCATCATTCCACACTTGGGAGGACAGCACAGGAGAGTCTTATTGCCATTTGTAGGTGTTAAGGGCACAGACATCAGTAGTAACTCACTCGCTGTCTCCAACCTGTACAGCTCCCATAACCTGTCTGTCATTATATCTCAGCCTGCAGAGGCTCTTGCAGATCTAGAAGACAAACGAAAATTCTCTTCTTCAAATGCCCCTGCCCCCAGCTTCCAGTGTATTACAGTAACATTTTGAACTGCTTCTGTGTTTTGCTTGATCTGTTTAATGTGAATCAGTGTGCATCTCAATAGAGGAAACTCTAAGATCTAATATTTTAAAAGAGAAAGTTCTTTGCTAAGTCCGTAACCTGTAGCCATTTTTTATTAGAAAAACAACACACTGAATGCAAATAGCCAACGATCTCTAGATGCCATGATTACTTTAGGCATGTGAGATCATACATTATGATCTTAAACAGCTTTTATATGCTTAATTTTCATCATTCAAGATATTGCAGATTTCCAAACATGTGCTACTGACAGTTTTGGACAGGATGGTAGATAGTAACCTGGAGGCATCCTTTGCTAGAGCTTCTTAAACTGTATTAAACTGCGTAAATTCAAAGCAGAAAGCAAGAGTCATTCAGCATGACAACATTAAAAGTCAGTATCTAAGACTCCAAATTTCAGTTTCTCTTGCTCTACATTTTACCAGGGCATGAAGCTTTAGTTCCCATTACAATTTTGTAGTGAATAGAATGGGTATCTTCCAGCATGTCTCACTGTTACAGGAGGACAAAATTATTATGCATGCTTAAAATAAAGGGGAGCAATTACACAATGCTTCCCTCTGTTAAGAGGTAACCTTCTCCCATTTCCTTAAGCTCAGATAGTTTGCCAAAGAGCATGTCATTGTCCAAAGTTCATTGTTATTTTAAGAAGCTAAATACACGACTGCAGCATCCCTACCAAGAAAGGATGTAACTACAATTTATTTCAGTAGAATAAGCTAGATTTATTTTAGCAATGAGTAAAAGTAAAGAAAATGATAGGAACATCTGCTGTAAAGTGCAAAAGACTTTGGTTTCTTTAAGATTGCTGGAAATTCAGCATCACTTCCTGAATTAGACTCTCACTGACAACTTCTCTGGTTCTGCAAACCAAACCATGCCAGTGCGTTCAACTTGAATTGAATGGCCATACTTCACATCACAATTCAACATGCCCAAATGGTAGCTGACTACAGAGGCTCAGCTCCACCTGAAATTCTCTGAGAAGCGTGACAGAAGCAAGTGAGAAAGCATGAGCATGAGTGCAACTCAAAGACAAACTGCTCTGGGAGCATCCAAACTAGAGTTAACCTTGAGTTATTCTAAGAAAAGCAGCAGTATCCCTCCAGATTTCCTGGCTGCTTCTCCAAGCAAACACACACCATAACTACACAAACACCTGTACTACACTCATTCAGAGTGCCTATGTAAGGCTACAAAGAGCGATGCAAGATCCTGCAGCAGCAGCATGAAGTGCCCCCAGCACTGACAACACAGAAGTTCCAAAATTCTAACAGGGTTTCTACAGGCTGCCCACACTCAAATTTGAATTAATCATGGTGAAGTATGATTGCTCATATTCTTAGAAGAGTGGAACTAGGACAGGAAACATAAGATCATATCTCATGCACTCAAATACCCCGGAGGAAATATTGCTTTGTTCTCACCTTTAGCTTTGCAAGATGCTCTACAACTCCTCTCTAGTCCTCACTTTACTCTTTCTACCCCCTTGTCTCAATTAGGAAATAAAAGCATGGTCTCGCGCAAGATCCAATAATTCATTTTTTCAACTTCACACCGTCTGGCATATGGGAACTTTGATCAGTTGTATTACTACTGCAGAGTATAAAACACCAAGTCCTTGGACCATTTAATTTATCAAGATCACCAAAAGATGCAGATTTTCAGCCAGTCACTTCAGAAAACCACAGGAATCCTGTAGCTGTCACTAAATCAATGAAAGGAAACAAAATCCTGCAAAGTATCCTCATCACCACAATGGTGAGCACTTTCCAAAAGTACCACAAGGTATTCCCAGGCCTTCTCTTCAGGAGAAACAAAATAAAACTAATGATCCAATGTAAAACACTCTCCTAAGCTTTCTCCAGAATGCAAAGAGTTCTGTTGTCACAACAAAAGCATTGCAGATCACACAGATCTTTGCTCTGCAGCTTTACACAGTCTTGCAGATACCTGGGGCCTAAACCAGCACAGTTGTTTTTTCAGAATAATTTGAGAGATAAATGGAGGAGAATGCAAATCCACTCTAGGTTACTCCAAGGTTTAACTCAGGCAACTTAAATGTGTGGTCACACACATCTCACTACAGAACAGAGCATCCCACAAGAATAAATAAGCACTCCCCATCTTTGCAGATTCTGTTACCACACCTGAACACCTACTAGTTAAGTAGATTTATTATTATTATTTAAATTAAAAATCAAGAACAATGAAAAAACCACAGCATCCAAACAGACAGGATGTGTGTGAGCATGACTGACCACTTTAGGCCTCTGTAGATACCATCCATATTAGTCAGCTATTTAGCAGATTAAACTATAACAAAATGTTTTTCTTTTTGTTTCTAAAAGTATCTGGAATGAAATCAGGTGCCCAATTTCTCAGAAAACCTCACAGGATACAAAAAATAAACTGATCTTTCAGTAGTGTCTCAACAAGAAGCTTTGCTTGCAGCTATGTCACTGTGAGCAGTAGGTCTTAACTTTCTGCACACACTAAACTTAAACGTTTAGAACAGGTTGACCCTTGGCGTAAGCAAACAGCACTACAGCTACTATCCCCACTGCAGTTTCACTGTCTTCCAAAAAAAGAACATTCTTGTAGCTAGCCTGAGAGCCAAGAACGTTCAGTCCTTGAAAGCATAACAAAATAATCCAGCAATCTATCTTAAGGGCTACCTTTGTTAACAGGAAAATTGAAATAAAAACATAATTCCTATAGAACATCTTGCAGTTTGATACCAGTATTCATACTGAAAAAATAGGAAGAGGAGAGCAGCAGGGAAGAGAGCAAAAAAGAGAAAGATCAAGGAAACCACATTCTTTAGAAGGACAGGATGAGATGTAGCTGACATTTAATCAGCAGAATCTTTTTGATCAAAGCTGTAGTAGAGGCTGTGTGGCACCTGAGACAGGAAGATGCAATGCCCCCCACACTTCTCAGCATCAAGTCATGTCCTCCTGTAAGTAAAGAATTGCTTCTGAGCAAAGCAGCTCATAAGATATTTTGAGAATTTAAAAAAAAAAAAAAAAAAAGGCAAAAAATCATCAGAAAAACTTTCAACCACACCAGGAATTCCTGATGTCCTCCCTCTTATCTATTTGAAGATCTGAGCTAGGCATCATTGCTCCTCTGAGGCTTACCTGTAAAAAAATCCTTAGCTGTGATAGCAGCTGCACCAGCAATTTCTTGTTACTTAAGAGAATAGGTATAGCATATCAATGTATAACATCAGACTGAATTAATGAGAAGAACTATAACCTGATTTAATATATTAATATCTGCAAAAGCCTTGGAGACTTGATATTGTAATTGATTCAAAAAAAGGAGGTCACAGTTGCATTATAATCAGACTTCGCAATTTAAGAATAGCATTTGAGAAACACATGTTCATCTAGCAGAAGCACCTACAGTAAAACACTCCTAACACGATTTTATTAGCTGACACTAGCAACACAACGGGGGCCCAGATCTTACAAATGAAGATTTCATTTAGTTTCTTACCCTATTGTTGGGTTGATGTTGGGATCAAAGCTATCTTCCACAAATCTCCACACGATACTTGATTTGCCCACACCAGTGTCCTAAAAAAAGAACAGAAACATGAAAGAGATAAAACTTGCTGTAAACAATTCTTTTTGTCCTCCCATCTTACAATATTTCGTAGGAATAACACATTTCTGCAGAGAATCTCAGTGAAGTTAGAGGTTCACAAATATTTCATTTCCTCTTCTTTGTAGTATTGAATGTATTATTTTCTTTGTTAACTAGAAAAATGAAACATTTCTTGTAAGTTACAACTTCCTAAATAAAACTGTTATCAAGGAGTATAAAAATCTGTATTCCTTATTTATCAGTCACTCAACCTCACCCCAGGTGTATACAAACCATGTATGAATTAGAGCACAGAAAGACCTTCTAACACATTTAGCAGCATATACAGAAACTGAATTCAGTACTCCACCTTTGTAAACCAATCAAGCATGTGAAATTATACAAATGTGACACACACATTTCAACTTCTGACTAATGCCGTCCCACCCTGCTTAATGAAAGGCCTGAGATGTCTTGTATGACACACACCTGAGACATGTTTCAAATACAACTTTACAGGGTTGAAAACGGAAGAAGAGAAAATATGACATAAAAATTTCACATAACATTGTATTTGTACCACCAACTTGATTGTTAAAAAAAAAAAAAAAAAAAAGTAATAGTAGGCATATCTAGGAGTGAAATGATGCACAAAACCATTCTCAATAGCAGCTGGACATCCCAAATGGTCATTTATCCAGGCAGGTAACAACAAGCATTTTGCTTTGCATGTCAAGAATCAACAAAGCATTAAGGAAACAAACAAACAAACAAAGACACTTCATTGGAAATGAAGTTCTACTCATACATGTTCTTAAATTGCCCTCCTATCGGTGACGGTGTATGACCTTGGTTTTGGACTTCATAATATTTGCAATCTCAAGAACAACGCAAATATTTAAAGAGAAAAGGAGACGCAGCTCCTGGCTCTTAGAGTTCAGGAATCAGTTTTCTTAGGTGCTTCTCTTCTTAGATGAGGAAACACAGGACAGGGGGAACGCAGAGCAGACAGGAGCTCTGCATCGCCCCAGGTTGTCTTACACCACACGGAGCACAGAAACATAGAGCTTTCTCTCTGAAGGGCAGAGAGGCCATCTGGGAGTCCTGAGAGCACTGCCTGCAATGCCCCCAGCACAGGGCCGAGGCTCAGGGCACTGCCCTGCTTCCCACAGCAGCTCCGCAGCCCGGCAGCACTTGGCTTCTTCCAGAGATTTTGAAACTTCGACGTCACTTTGCTCCAAGTCTCCTCCTTCCCCACAGCTAGTGTTTAATGCACTTTCAGAAGCCAAATACCGTTAAACAAATATAGTTCTGCTTCCCTCCCTCTCTTTCAAGTTTGATTTTAGATATTTGCGACCTCCAAGCCCGAGGCAGCATGCCTGGGAAGCGCGAAAGCGTCCACCGGCTGCCCGGGCCTCCCGTCCGCTCCTTTTCAAGCGATAACGCTGGAACACAGCAGCGGCATCGTCCCGTCAGGAGCCCCGTCCCTCAGCACGGCTCCCCGCCCTCCGCTGCCGGGGCCGGACAGTCGGGACCGGGATCAGCCCCGAATTCGGAGGGGCCGCGGCCCAACCCTAAGCAGGGCAGGCCCGGCTGTCGGAGCCGCCGGAAGGCCAAGCCCGGCGATCTCCGCAGCGAATGGCGCAGGGCGGACGGCCACCTCCCTCTCTCCCGCTCGCCCGCCGTGCCCCGCGCGGAGCACTCACCCCCAGCAGACAAACTTTCAGCTCCCTCAGAGCCATGGCCGGGCAGGCTGCACCTTCAACGAGCGCCAGAGACGCGGCCCAGAACGCTCATAGCCCTCCTCGCCGCACGCGCGATGCCCGAGGGACGCGGACAGCCGAGCACCGGGAGCTCCGCCGCCGCCTCCCGCTACCAACGCGTCTCTCTCCTCAGGCGCCGCGGACCCGACGCCATCTTGGGCGGCCGCCGGAGTCACCTGACCACACCCCCCAGCGCGGCCGCCGCCGCCCGCAGCTTTCCTCCCTCAGAGGAAGGGACGGCGGCCGTCGAGGGGCGATCCGCCAGCGGGGAGCGGCCGGCTGTTAAACCGGTCGCGTTTGGAGGCTGAACTGAGGGCAGGAAGTGCGGGCGGCTCCTCCCCGCGTGCTCCCGTCCTCCTCCTCCTCCTCGCCCATGTCCGATCCAAGATGGCCGGTAAGTGGGCGCGGGCGGGGGGCGGCACCGGGCAGCGCTGCCACGGACCGTCCTCACCGCCGCCCCCCGAACCAACCCCTCGGTGTCTCTTTTGTTTTTGTTCGTAGGGATCCCTTTGTATTTTGTGGATTTGCAGGATGACTTAGATGATTGTGAGTAACCGTTTTTTATTTTTCTGCCTCCCCGCTCAGGCCCTCCCCCGCCCCACGGCCCCGCTGTCGCGCTCTTTTCACCTCTCCGTTTTTACCCCCGGACGGCTTTCGGGCGGTCTGACGGCTCGCGGGCCTTCCGAGGGATCGGCGGGGCGGCCCGCGTCGCTCTCGTCGCCGTGCTGAAGGGCGACGGGTCGGGACCGAGCTGCGAGGCGGGGGGGTGGGCCGGGGGCGGCTTAAAGGATTGACTGTGCTGTTGTTGTGGCTGAAAGTTGGCCGGGGCCGTCTGGGGGGATCTTTGCTGTACTAATCCCGACGGGTGAGGCCTCTGAGGGCTTTGCTAAAGGCGCTGCGTTTTGTTTTTTGGAGCATCTCCGAAGCGCAGACTTCGTTACTTTGTGCGCTGCTGGGGCAGGGCGTGAAAGAAAATCCGCCTCGGTGCTGCTCTTAGCCGACACGAGCCCGTGTGCTTAGGTGAAGTGCCCTTCCTTGGGTGCCAGACGAGGCTGCAGCCCCCGGTCCGGAGTTGTGTCGTGGGGTCAGAGCTGTAGCAGTGCGGGGCAGCCTGGAGATAGCTGTGTCTCAGGAGATAAGGCTTCAGCTGCTGCTGGTTTGAACTAGAAAGCGGCTGGCACATAGGGCGGTTGGGATGCTGCGTTGAGTTTTCCATTAAAAAAAAAAAAGAAAACGGATGCAGAATTTGTTTTGTTTGTGCACTGGTTTGTTTAGCATGTGAATGTTATTGTAACAGTGCTGGAAAATGTACAGCAGAAGCAGAATTACAGAATAACTTTTCCTGAATCTTATCATTAGTGTTTAAATCCTGTTTAAAGAAGGTGATTTTGAGGAACAGCAGGAGAAACACTGGGTGCAGAACATTGAAGTTCTTTACAGAGAGAGTGGTGAGGTGCTGGAACAGGCTGCCCAGAGGGGCTGTGGATGCCTCGTTTGTGGAGGTATTCAAGGCCAGGTTGGATGAGGCCCTGGGCAGCCTGGTCTGGCATTAAATGGGGAGGGTGGTGGGCCTGCATGTCGCAGGGGGGTTGGAGCTTCATGATCCTTGAGGTCCCTTCCAACCCTGGCCGTTCTGTGGCGTATTAAAGAGGCTCTAAGTGTCCCCTGGCAAGGTGTGCAGGGATGTGGCCTCTGCAGGCAGGGAGGGGGTCTTCCTATGGAACGTCATTAGCTGGTGCTGCTAACTGGTTTTGCTTTCAGTGCTTGAGGCTTTGCCCTTTTGGTAGTAGGACAAAAGGTGTTCATTTGTATTTTGATAATATTTAAAAAATGTTGAGATTAACTGTATGCAAGATAGCTCATTTTGTTTTGTGTTTGTATCTGTAAGTGTATTACAGAATGTATTTGATATTTGTGCAGAGACTTAAATTGTAACGGTGTGAGTCTTATTGAATTGTAAATTACAATTAGAAATGAGGAAACCTTGGAGGGTAATACTTGTAGTACATGGGTTTTTTAGTGCATGAGGATTTGGAGCCTTGTTAGGGCTATAAGGAGTTATTATAAGTAGGTACTGGAGGTTGCTGGTTACTGCAGTCTGTAAATGAAAGAAGGCCACACCAAGACCTTAAACGACAAAGCATGCGAGTTTTGAGCAGGATTTAGGTGAGAAAGATATTAGATGATGCGTTTCATCTGTTCTGTAGAGCAGAATCTGTCTCACCTGAGTTTCTCTGACAGCCAGATAGCTGCAACAGCACCTTATTTAAGACTTAGAAATATTCGATTCTTTCTACTCTAATTTAAAAAAAAAAAAGCAAACAAAAATCCTTTTCATAGTGCTAACAAATGCTCAGCTATGTGAATTGATTACATCAATTGAATTGAATCCCATCATTGAATTGTTCCCAGTTCCATTTCTCTTTTTTTCTGTCTGCAATAAAACAAAGATACCAGTGTGTCATCTGAGTTCTGTTTGCTGAGCGTAAAGCACAAACAGCAGAAATAAGTGCAAATATCTCATAGCGTTCTGTGGGTTTGTCCTGGAGTTAGGTGTTCATTCTCCATTAGTTTCCTTTACATATATATATATCACAGGTGTTCTTCCAACACGTGGGATAGGCTTAGGTAGTTCAGTTGGGAGGGACCTGTAGAGACCATCATATCCATCTGTCTGACCACCTCAGGGCTGACCAGAAGTTCTTGTTTATAGCTGAGCAGATTTGAAGTTTTTGTGTTTCACTGGAAAGAAAGTGCTGAATAAATACTTCATTCACCTGTGAGCAAATATTATATACATTAGAAGTACCACCTTATTTTTTTCCATTTATTTACTACTACCCTGTAGTCTAAAACTTGGAGCTATCTATAGCTGCTTCCTTTATGGGGAAAAAAATTGTGAGAGAAGTGGAAACGGGTTCTGCTGTGACTGTTCCGGGTATTGAGAGTGCATGCAAAAATTTCGAGTATTTAACTCTTCATCCTTAGTAAAAGTGGTTTACTCTGTTTTCCCTCAGGTCCTAGAAGCGCTAATGTGTACTTAGCCAATTAAATGAATAATAAAACTGCTCAACTAGTAAAGGTAATCCTAGGTGTAGCATTATGGTCAGGCTATAGAGATTTGTTTCACTATCATTTGACTTGGTAGGAATTCTGCTCAAAATGCATGAAGGGGCCAATAGCAAAATGGGCTGCTGAGTGCATTCATTTTTGAGTTGCTCTGTAGTTCAGTAACAAGTGGGAACTAGATGAAGTTAATGGCAAGTGTGTTGGGTTTTCATTATTATTGTTTGTGTTGTTTTCAAGCCTCAGTGAATCCTTGCGCAGCAGGTGGCTAGCCTCAAAAATCAGATAGTGCAAGAATGCTCAGTCTGTGTGCACTTCAAATATGTAATGCTGTAATCGTGCAGGCGTGGGGATGGGCAGAAATTGGTTTATGAGATGGGAAAGAGTTACAATCTCCAAAAGGAAATGTGCATCCTCTCCTACAGCCTGTAGCTTCCTGCCAGCCCTCAGTCATACAGTGGGTTTGCTTTGAAGCAGGAAGTGCTGGTACCTTCAGACAAGCTTCGAGGGATCCCAGCATGCGGATAGATCAATCCCTATTAGTTCTGTGTAGTGTAAACTATCTACACTTGTGCAAATAAGTGATTTGAACCTGACAACTTCATGGTTGTTGTTTACGTGCTCTTAGAAATAATAATGGCCCCTTGAATGAAACTAAGGCTGCCATGAGAACGAGTATAAGAATGAGTAGCAGTGCTTCTGGTCAGGTAGCTGTGGGTTCTCTTTTGTCTGTATACATTTTAAGTGGGAACCATTGGTCTAAACCCACAGTTGTCGTCTTTTTGAGTTCCATTGAGCTGTTGGTAGGAGCTTGTCTCCAGGAAGTAGAGTTGCTCTGTCTTAAAATTCAGATAGGTTCCTTAGAAATTATGCCTTCAGAAATCCAGTCTGTTTTATTCTTTTGTTCCCCAGAGGACTGCGGCGTAATGTTTTGCCCTGAGTATGTCCAAATAATTTCTTTTTTTTTTTTTTTAATGACCTGTGTATTTCTGTGGAGAATGTTTTGGCTTCAGTTTGCGTCTGATACAAGGAAACCATTTCCTAGTCAAAGTAATGGATGTCTTCTGTGAGTTTGAAAGCAATGTCTTCTATAGATTCAGTCCATTTAAGCATATAAAGTGAAACCTGAGTATTAAATAATGGGAAATCAGTCATATGTATAAAATTGGACTTTCTCCTTGCAGGAAAAAAGCCGAGGCTTAGTACCCCTGAGTAACAGATTATCATCTGTATACAGATTTGTAGTGGATATTGATGCAGTTTAGAGCCAAAGTCCATCACACCTGGTCTCAGATTAAGGGGTTCTTTAGAGAAGTGTTGGTGAGAAAAAACCAGTGGTAAAGGATGGATAGAGTTGAAACTTCGTTATACTGATGAAGGTACAGCCACTGCAGTGCTGAAGAAATTGTCGTGTTGGGAACCTGTGATTCTGTATATGCACCATTTAACCTCCTGGCAATTTGAGGGAGTATTATGAAATAATGACGGCTTCTCTTTAGGGTGTGCAAAAGCTTTATACAGTCTGGGATGATGTATTTGGAAATACTTCAGTTTTTTATTTAACCAGAGTACTGAAGGGGTGGTTATGTAGGTCTTCACGTGCATATCTGCTAATCTGCTAAGTATGTCCTGTTCTTCCCCTTTTTGTAAGCGGGAGAAATTGATGCTATAAACGAACCTGTGTCTGGTTTGTTTATTTGTTTAGCCAATGGTTTGCTGTATTTTTTTGGTGGTACTTTTGGGTTTTTTTTTTTAAACTTCCCCTCCCTGCAGACAGGAGGTCTCTGCCTATGGAGGCAGCCTGGAGTGCCTGGATTTTTTTTACAGGCAGTTTCAAACACAGACTGTTTGGCCTGTCATTGTGCTTACGAATTATTACCAGTTTTGTGTTTTCTTTACCAATCTAAATACCTAATATAATGTCTTGCCAAGTCAGGAACTGGCTTCTGTTTTACAGTGCTTGTCACTCCTAGCACACGTGCTGTTCTGAGACAGACTATTCCTTGCATCTGAGAAGCAGTAGTGGCATGATTTGTGCTTAAGGAGTATCACACTTGCTGTTATTTGTGTGAACAAAGTCCGAATAATTCAGAAGCGTGCTCTGTTGGGAAAGTTTTAAACTGAGAAATATCAGCTACTCCAGTGCAGTATTTTCTGCCACTTCGATTGCTGTATGTGTTTCTATATGAAATGAGAGAAACTCTGTAGTTAACAATGTCTGCAGTAAAAGGCTCCCTTAGAAATGAGGTCAAGTTGAGGTGTTTTCTAGGCTACCAGTGTGATGTAGATGAGTGAGACCCATGACTTCAGTGAGAAAAAGGAGCCTCGGTAGCTTTGAAGCAGACAAGAGTTTGTGGGTTCAAAGCAATATGGTTTGGGATTTTGTCATTGCAAAAATTGCCATTTCTCTTATTGGGACTGATTCTTATTCTGAATTTGTCTGTTAGTTTGTGGCACACAATTCTTTCACCTGAGCCCTCTTTAACATGCATGTAGTTAGCTCACTCAAGTTGCAATGTGAAATGTTGAAAGGGAAAGATATTATGACAGCTGAAATAGATTGCACTTCAAGGCTTGACTTTACAGCTCTGTACACAAGTGTTGCTCTGTACTTAATTAGGCACAACTTTGAGATTTTTGTAAGCAGTTTTCAGTGATGCACAGTTTTGCTTTGAAGGATAGTTCTGAAAAAAGTGTTGGTGTAGGATATTTTGTACTTCAGCATCTCTTGCTGACTTTTGTGTGATTTTTAAAATTGCTTTGTTTTGTTGTTCTGTTATACTTGTCTTTCAAGTTGGATTTGAAGATTACGGACCAGACTGTGATAGCATGAGGATAACAGCATTCTTAGACATTCCAGGACAGGACAATTTGACCCCACTGGCTCGTTTAGAAAAATATGCCTTCAGTGAAAATGTATTTAACAGGTAAGGATTCAACAGCTCTGCTGGATGACAGCCTGAGTCTACTAGAGGATGTCAGGGGTTCACTACTTCTCTCATTATTTTGCTAAATTGAACATTTGTTTGAAAAACAAGCTGTTACAAAATACTTTCCATAAAAGGTAGTTTAATCCATTGGTCATTTCATATGTCTTGGACTCCATCTTTGTTTTGTTGGAGCCTGGCAAAATTGTGCACCTTGTATGTCCGAATGATCGGAGTAGATCTTGGTCTTGTGTTGTAGGGTTTCCATCTGGTTTTGCTAAGATCCTGCCATGTTCCACCCATGTTGTTGACAAGATACTAAGGCGATTAATATGTTGTCTCTTCACAGGCAGATTATTGCCAGAGGTCTTTTGGATGTCTTTCGAGATTTCAGCAATAATGAGGAAGATTTCCTGACTGTAATGGAAATTGTGGTCAGGCTCTCTGAAGATGCAGGTTTGAATGTATTTATTTTAATTTTTGTAATTCTGGACCATGGTGATGTGTTGTGAGGTTATTCTATTTATTTCCTTCAGAAACCAGCAATCTCAGTGGTAACATTTCTGTATGTTTTGAGTCTTTTCATTTTAGTCCATTTTGTAAACGTTAAACCAAAATAAAATCCTGCCTTTTTCTTAAGGTTTCTAATTTTGAATTTGCTGATTTAGTTTTTTCTTTTTGTAATTGGTAGAGCCGACTGTCCGTACAGAGCTGATGGAACAAATACCTCCAATTGCCATTTTTCTGCAAGAAAGTCGGCCAAAATTCCCAACAGCGTTTTTTGAATACCTGATGCCCATAGTGGTGAGATATCTGACAGATGTGAACAATCAGGTAGGAAAAACAGGCTGTGTGAGTTAAATATCTGGAAGTTTTGTTGTGGTTTGGTAATCCTGAAGCACGAGAAAAAAGGCAATAAGAAATTCCCTGTTAATTGATATCCAGTTCTTCTGTAGCACTTTGTATTTATTGAATGCTGCACAATTTACTATGGAAGTAAATTTATTTGGAAGAATATACGTATTTTTTCCTACTTCCCTTAGTGGGGAACTTGCAGGATTTACCTAATGGCATATTGACATTGTGTTACTGGAGTCATGGCTTCTGAATTCTGACTTATTCTTAAGATTTTGGCTTCTCCTCACAATTTGATGCAAGGGCATCTAACAATTAGATTAACATTTAATATTTATTACTAATTATTTATAGTGCTAAACTTTAAAAAAAAAAAACTTTTAACTTTATGGGTTTTTTTTGTTTTTTTTTCCCTCTTTCTTTAACCTTGTACCTTTGTATTCTACAGAAGCATACCTCTTGTAGCTCTCACATCACTAAATGTTTTTACAGCTGTAGACTTCTGTTTGTTCACATTAACAGGTTAGAAAGGCAGGTCAAGAAGCACTGCTCATACTTTTGGAACAAGATCTTGTTTCTCAGAGTGACATTGAAAACAAAGTGTGTCCAATTCTGTTGGACCTCTCTGCTCCTGACAGTGATGATGAGTATAAAGTGGAAGCTGTGAATGTGAGTGAACTTGAAAGAAAGCTTGTATCTTTACCTTGTTAGGCTTTTCTTTAATTGCTTTTTTTTCTATTTTTTTTTATCAGTGTTGTTATAAAGCCCTTTTGGAATGTATTTGTGACAGCTTTTGTGCAGTACTTTAATAAGCCTAAGAGCTCTACAGTAATCATGGAGCCTAAGCTTTCTATACCATCACTATTGCAGTTTGTTGTATTTCTCTGTTTATGATAATTTGCTCAGTTGCAAATTGCAGAACTGCTGTAGTGATATAGTTGAAGCTGGAACCACAGCTTGTCTCTTAAGCTGTTAGATCTTGAATCTATAAGTTTATTAGTTATTTGTAATGTTGAACACTGTTGGAAAAACATAAATTCTCAAAGGATTTGGGCAAGGTCAGGACTTGATACCTTATATTGAGAGATTTAAAAAACAAGTAATTTTTAGGAGCAGTTTGGGATTTGGTTATAAGCTTTCTAATTTTCTTGTCCTTCCTCATATTCTCTTCTTCATTTCAGATAATCTGTAAAATGGCTTCTATGCTGAGCAGAACAACAGTTGAGCACTTGCTACTTCCTCGTTTTTGTGAACTTTGTAGTGATGGGAAATTGTTTCAAGTCCGAAAGGTTGGTGTATTTTCAACTGAAAGAATTTGTGTATATGTAGTTATTCAAATGCCTACTTGAAGAATTAAATTATAACTTTTGCTGACGAAATTTGAAAGATTCTTAGAAGAATGCTTTGCAGTTTTTGGAATGGCTGTAGTTTCTGAAGTTCAGTAAAGAAACAGGTAACAGTCCTTTGGAAATAGCAAGTCTGGGACCATTTAATAGTTTTTCACAACCAATACTTAAACCACCATGGTCAGTACTTCAAAACCAGAAATTCAGAAGGAGTAGATATTTGAGAGATTCATCCTATATTATTGAACAGAGAAGTCTCAGAAGTGTGAGATTTATTCTAAGTCATGATCAAGTACAAAGGAAATTCATACTATGAAGTCTTAAAATAGTTCAGTAGATTTAAAGGTTACTTAGAACTTCAGTTTGGACCCTAATGTAAGCTGTGGTTGTTGGAATGTGACCTGTGTTAGAGCATTATAATTCTGGCTTACATTAAAAAACCAGACATTAATGGAGGCCCATGTTAATTGATTTTAGATTTCAGCTACTTCTTTTGCATCATGAATGAATGTCCTATCCTACCTTAATTATAGAATTTGTAAGTTACTGCCCTGTAAATGGCACCAACTTGAGACCTTGGTTAAACTTTGCTTCAGCAAAGCGCTTAAGCCAGCAAAGAGAGTTCTATCAGTGCACCTAAGTCCTGACCCTCATATCATGTTTTAGTCTGCTTTATTTTTGACAGCTGAAGTTCCAAGTCATTGAACTTCCAGTAGGCTTGTTGGGCCCTTTTAATTATTACTGAAGCAGATGAAACTCTTCACAATGCAGAGTACTTTTCACTATTGATTTCAAAGACATGTGGCTTACGGAAGCTTGCTCTATCGAGTCTTTATCTGGGGTGAGCTAATGTTACAGGATGTAGTTACATGGCTGAAATTTGAATAGTCAAATGTGCAGTTGTTAGTGGGTGTAAGTGGTGAAGTTCATGATGAAACTAAAGCACTTGAAAAGTCCAGAATGTTGTTATTGACTTTTTTTTCTTCAGATTTGTGCGGCTAATTTTGGTGACATTTGTAATGCAGTCGGGCAAGAAGCCACAGAAAGACTTCTGGTATGTTGGGAAAAAATAAAAAATAAAAATCCAAATCCATTTACAACGCATGTATTTATCAGTTCACAAAGTTGAATAATGAGGTCTTTTCTTGTAATCTATGTTGATGCATTTTTGAAATGGTTTTGTATAAGGCTTGATTGCAATTGTATATCAGAACTGGAATTGAGCAGAAATAAACAGCTCTTGTTTTTCAGAATGTTTTTAAATATAATTGGTGGCTCATATGTATACATTTGAACTACTGACTCTTTCTTTTCCCTGAACTAGATGAACAATCAAGTTATAATTATAAATGGCTAACTTTTCCTGAAATTATATTTTCCAGTGCATGTAGTTATACATAAAGCCCTAATAAAAGTAAACGGGAAATATATATTAACTGAAGAAACAGGGAAAAACTACTTTTAACCTGTCCTCACTCATCTGTTCTGTGAGTTTTCATCGTCTCCAGTTCCAAAGAAATATATTGATAGTAAGTTACTACAGTCTTTGCTTAGTCTTTAATTTGTCTTGGTTTTGCTTATTTTTGGCAGATTCCCAAGTTCTTTGAGCTTTGTTCTGATAGTGTTTGGGGCATGAGAAAAGCTTGTGCTGAATGCTTTATGGCAGTGTCTTACACCACATCCCCAGAGGTCCGCAGGAGCAAACTGTCCCCACTCTTCATCAGTCTTATTAGTGACACTTGTAGATGGGTAAGTAACTCACTTTGTCACTGGTGCGTCCCCCCAGGCAGATCATACACAAATAATGAGCAAGTCAGAGGCACGCTGTAAGTTCTCCACACAAAATTTGCTAGGGTAAGACTCTAATCTAGTAAAATTTAAGCTTCTCTAAAAAGATTTTTAACTTGCTTTACCTCTTTTGTTACTATAAAAGAAAATTGATAGAAATTTTAAGTGTAGTCTTCAGAGAATAGGTTGCTTTTGTTAAATGTGTTCTTTGAAGTTTGCACTGAGACCCTTACCATGTTTGTAGATGCATGTTTAATATTCCAACATTCTTTTTATAGATGCCACTTATTTGTTAATTGGTTATTTTTTGTATAAAATGAAGCTGTTGTAGTAAGAAACAACTTCAAACCTAATTTTATTTTAAGCATTAGCTCTACAGGAGTTGCACGAATCCTGAATGTCGTCTTTCTCCTACACCAGGTTCGCCAGGCAGCTTTTCAGTCTCTTGGCCCTTTTATTTCCACTTTTGCAAATCCGTCAAGTGCTGGACTCTACATCCGAGAAGATGGGACACTGAGCATCCGGCCATCAGCACAAGATGTGAATTCCAATTCCTGCCAACCAAGTAACGTGACTGTAATTGCCTCTACTGCAAATGCTGCATCATGCAGGTAAAATCACGGGAAAGATGTGCTGTAGGGGAAGGGAGAAATAAGAAGGTAATTCTTTTAGTTGTTGCTTGGGGTAAAAATCTTGAAAATAGTTCCAGGAAAGGAATGAAATACGAAGTCTTGCGTGTATGTCTGAGTGTAGCCACATTATTAAAGTGTAATTGATGTTTATGGCTTCAAAGGAAGATAAAGGGAAAACTGGTGAAATAAAGCATAGTACTATAACATATTTTCTGTCTTTCTGCAGAGAAAATAAGCTTCTGTAGTTGAAACTATTTTTCTGAAGTATTTCACTGAGGAATTACTGTTATAGATATTTTATATGGATAACTGTGTGTTTGTTATCAGTTTGGAACAACCAATGGAAATCAAATCAGAGTCATCAACTGAGGAGACTTCAGCTGAAGTTAAGGTGCCAGTCTCTGTTGAGAACCTCAGTAGAGACACGTGGGAAGCAAGTTCAGATTGCTGTATGAGTTCTGGAGAAGATCTGTCTAGATTGCCTCAGGATGATGGAGTTGTTACTGGTGTGGAAGTCGCTAAGGACATCAATTTTCCAGCAGTTACCTCAAGGCTACAGTGTTCTGAGGATGTATTTAATACTTTTCTCTACTGGCGGCCTCCGCTGCCTGATATAAGTCAGGAGCTGGAGTTGCTTCAGTTCAAGACTGAGAAGCACAAAGACAGCTGCTCAGGGCCGTGTAATAACTGCGTTGCTAGCAGTGAAATAAAAAAGGTTCTGGAAAGCTTACAGGAGCACATAGATGATCCAGATGTTCAAGGTGAGACTAACAGAGAAAATAACATTCTTTCCCAGTAGATCCTCACCTTTACAAAAATCTTTGGCTGCTTTTTGGTGGTGATGACATCGGTCATCCTTAATCAAGTTTCTCATTCCACTGAATCTCTCAAGTGTTGCAGTGAATTAGCTTGTAAATATGTCTTTTATCAATTCTTCTGTTTCCCTAATTTCCAAAGTATTCTACTGTTCTTTAAATTATCCTCTGTTGTGTCTTGAGGCTGCTTGCTGTAGGCATGTGGAAATACAGCTGCTGTGGTTTTTTTTTATTCTGAACAATTAGTAACTTCCTGTTCACAGAAGCAGTGCACTGTAACAGTACAGTTTGTCCACATTAACTGGTGATACTGGTCAGTGGTAAACCTGACCTTTTATTTTCCATCTACTTCTGCTAACCAGTTTAGAAGTGGTGTGACTAATTTCCTCCCCTAGCTAGAATTTTTTAGTAATGTTTTTAAATGCGTATTCGACTGCCTGGAGAAGGCATTAAAAATCCAAGAATATGAAAAAGAATTTGTATTAATATGTTTGACATGGTGAGGAATGGGATGTGAGCTGGTATGCTGTGATACTTCATGAGGATTTTCAGAAATGTCTTTCAATAGTAGAAATTAGTAGATGTTTCTGTTGAAAACATAAATTAAGAGCAACAATTTGGATGTATTAAAGTGGAGATTTTGTGGAAGAGTAATTGGCTTTTCAAATATCAAGTGTTTGCATGTTTATGTGAAGCTTAGTTTGGACTTTTTTTATTCCTTCAGATTAAGTAATTACAAGTTTAATTCTTTTAAGTGCAGAAAAGAGACTGAATGGTATCTTTTGCTTTATACAGCTCAGGTCCAAGTGTTGTCTGCTGCTCTCAGAGCTGCTCAGTTTGATTCTGTTGGGGATTGTGAGACGAGAAAAATGGAAGAGAGCAGTGGTGAACTTCAGAACCAAACCATTTCAGATCAAACAGCTGTTTCTGATGCAACCTGTAACCAGGTGGAGGAGGGCACTCTTTCATCCTCTATGTCCCAAGATAGCATCAGTGAGCAGCCCACTACCAGTGTACTGAAAAGCACAGTAAGTATGTATTGTGCTCTGTGGCTGATAGGAATCTTACCAGCTGAAGTAGTGTTTTTATGTAGACAGTGACATCGACCCAATTCTGGCCTATAGGCCCTCAAGTATTGCTGCCAAAATAAAACTATTGAGGGTTATTATTTCTGTGTACTCACAGAGAACCTGGGAGGTAAAACTTTGTGGTAACCCTGAAGGATTTTTCATATGAAACATATCAAGTACAGTCTCAGTTCTTCCTGCAATAAATTTAAATTAATCTTTTATCTTCATGTGGAAGGCTGGATTAGATGTGACATCTACACGGTTCCTGGTACACACACAATTTCTTGATCACAATGTACACATTGCAGAATTATTTGTGCCTTAATAGTATTTCTGATAATAATTTTGAATAAAGGAAAAAGAAAAAAAAAACCAAAAACTAGCTTCATTTGTGAACAAAAGCTGTACTTCAAACTGTACAAACAAAATTGTACCAACAAACAAAAACTTAAAAAGACCAACACCCAAACTGTGTGATCTTATAAGACTCCCTGTGGTTTTGGCCTTTTAAACCTTTTAATTCTTTCAGTTTTCATATTTGGAGGGAGATGTGTGATTTTTTTCTTTTTCCAAAAGAAGTTACCCATTTATCATATTGATTTAGTGAAGCAACTGCTCTGCTACCTTGCTTAATCTTTAATTTCAGTTCAAGAATAAAAAATGTAGTAAAAGTAGCCATTCAAACTCTGAATGACTGTTAGTTTATTGCATTAAAATAGCTTTGTTTTTATAAGTAAATCTAACTACCGTTCCCCTTTCTGTTATTGCAGTCTTAATAGTGTTTGTCTTTAGTATTCAACCGTTATCTTTTTTGCACTTGTACAAACACTGAGCAAGGCTTTGCCTGTACAAGGTTTTGTTTATAAAAGGCTGTTTTGTATCTGAATTGCATTTGTTCTTGGTGTGATGCTTTGAAATATTGCAAATGGTGCTAAGGCTGTCTGATTTCATTGCCTAGAATGTCCTTCTGCAGGACTCGGAACAACACAGAGGAACCAGTGTATTCTTAGAGAAAGAACAGGAGGATCATCCGCCGTTTGAAGACGACAAATCAAAGTTACAGGTAACTGAAATACCACCTGCTTTAGCTGAGTGCTAAATACAGTTCATCTTATCCTTAATACAGTGTTAGCTTTTGCAGTTGTGGAATGTGAAGAAATGCTCTGAGCATTTAAGGAGAAATTTATTTTACATCTGAAAACTAGAAAAATAGTTTCTGGTAAACAAGTTTAAGTGCTGCCTACTGGGTAGAGGCAATCTGCAACAAAGGTAGGAGTTAACTGTTCTTTTCACTGGATTTATTGTTTGTCTTCAGTGAAGAATGTATTTTCAGTTTGATTCGATGTAGCACGTTGATAAAGTAATATTTACTGTTCATTACTGAATGGTGTATCTTAATGGGAAGACAAATTAGTCGTTTACAGTGAAGCTAACCCACAAAACAGGGTTGCTGTTGTTTTAATTTAGATGCCAACTAATTGGTAGCAAGACAATACTGTAGCACAATAGGAATGTTTTCTTACTGATTTTTAAATTAAAGGAAAATGTGTGTTTCTCATGTGCTCTCTTGCTTTACAGGATATCATACCTCAACCTTTACTTGACCAGTACTTGTCCATGACTGACCCTGCTCGTGCCCAGACGGTTGATACTGAAATAGCCAAGCACTGTGCATACAGTCTTCCTGGAGTGGCCTTAACGCTGGGTAGGCAAAACTGGCACTGCTTGAAAGATACCTATGAGACACTGGCCTCAGATGTGCAGGTAAAAAACAAAACAAGTACCACAACCAAGCAAAACCAAACAAATGAAAAAGTTGTCTCCAACCAGAAGTTTGAGTAGCTTTTTTTTGGTTTGCTGTGCTGAAGTTATAATAGACTTTCTTCTAAGAGATTAAACATAGACTAAAAATAAAAAAATCAGAATTTAAATCAGTCCATAAATGTAATTGGCACTTCCTACTGCTGTGCAGCTTGCTTCAGTTGTTCTGCTCTCTCAGTCCCTCACATGGGTGCCTTTGAAAGCTTTGTTTTGTTTTCTGATGATTGTGCCTAATCTATATCAATTCTTAAACTGTTTGCAGTGGAAAGTACGTCGAACGTTGGCTTTCTCCATACATGAGCTGGCAGTTATTCTGGGGGATCAGCTAACAGCTGCTGATCTGGTGCCAATTTTCAATGGTTTCCTGAAAGATCTCGATGAAGTGCGCATTGGTGTCCTTAAACATCTCTATGATTTTCTAAAGGTAGGAAAGCATAAAAGCTAATGTAATTTCTCAGGAAACCATAATTGAGTGAAAAAAAAGAAGTGTGTTTTAGTTAGAGATACAGACATCAATATCTAATTGTAAAAGCCAAAGTTTGTGCTATACTGCCACTTCTTTCTTATAACCCAATAAAATATCAAAACTGAAAACTTCTGTAAACGTGGTTGTAAAAGCTCCTGATACAGGGAAAGAAGAAGTACTTTGAGAGAAGGGAGCAAATGTTTGTGGTCTGCTGCACAGTAAGCAAAGATCCGTAGTTTTTAGTTGGTAATTGCTATGCCTAGAGATGGTGCTTTGTCAGATGTCCTTGCAGAAGGGAAGATTTGTGTGGGTTTGTTTTGGTGGGTTTTTTTTTTTTTTTGGATGTCTTTGTCTGGCTGTCCAGGTAGTTGGCTGGTTATGCACAATTTGCAGTAAATATCTTGTGGATGACCTTGCTTTCAAGTGGGAAAAGACACACAGATGTTAATAGAGAAATTCAGCAGAGTTTTTAACTTGAGTAGTTTCATGGTAATATTGCTTTTTTTCAGTTACTTCATGCGGACAAAAGACGAGAATATCTGTACCAGCTTCAAGAATTTGTGGTGACTGATAACAGCAGGAACTGGAGGTTTCGTTATGAGTTGGCAGAGTATGGGAACTTTCGTGTACATTACTAACTTGGAAATGGATTATTATGCTAAGGAGTTAGTGGATAATAATCCTAATTAGCATTTTTTTCTTACTTTCTTAAATGCAAATTGTGTTGTAATTGAGCACAATAGAAGCTTGAATACCTGTCACGTATCAAAGTGGAGATCTGATTTGCATGGAGCTTCTGAAATAAGACAATCTGATAGATGCTACTCAGTGAGGTTTCAGATTTGACTCAGTTCTGGACTGACTGTAAAGTTAAGGAAATGTATTAGAAAAATGATTCTGTGTGTTTGCTATCCTGCAGATATGTAACCTATTGTAAGAAGCATTATTCAGTTGGTATTTGGGGATATAGTTGAGACAGTGACATCTCCCAATTCTTCAATTCTTTTTCTTGCAAACCTTATTGATAATTGATATATCCAAAGAATGTTTGTAAACTATTTGCAGCAGAAAACTGGTCTTTCTGTTTATCTCACTGCTTTGTTTGTGATATTGAGGATGTAATCTCCCTTTGTAGTTTAACTCAAGAAACTAAATCTTGCTGTGGTGCAGTTGTGTTGTACAACAGTCCTCTGACATCTAGTGGAGACTGCTGTTACTTTGTGGTTGGTTTGTTGATGGCTGCAGTAATGTAGTTGGTGTGACTGAAGTGAGCTCTGTGCAGTTTCCTAAATTTAAATCATTTTCTGAAACATAGCCTTAATTTTCTGTAGAAATCTGTCATTTTTATGTTGCAGTGAGGTAGCTGATACTGGCCTGAAGTTGTGAAGAAACTTCCCATTCTGCTTCAATTTGTAGTTTTTGTTATTTTGATGCATTTGGACAGCTAGTTTGGGTAGAAGTTTCTCTTGCACTGCTTCACTGAATAAAGCATGTGCCTCTTTTGATACATGTGTGTACCTTTCTAAAGAGAAGATCTGTTCAAGTGCTTCATAATAACCACGGTGATTTCAAGGCTCCAAGTGATTCTTCCTTACCTCTAACAGTGGGTGTTGAAGCAGCTTAGTGGTGCACTTGTGTGACCCAATTGCTTCTTTGTTTCAGGCAGCTAATCCTGATACTGGAACTCTACAATCCCAATGATGTCTATGACTACTTAAGACATATTGCACTAACTCTCTGCTCTGATAAAGTTTCAGAAGTTCGGTGGATCTCCTTCAAACTGGTTGGTTTTTGTTTATCTTCACTTATGCTTTCTCTGCAGAAGTCTTATCTCCAGAATAAACGTAATAATTTATTAAATTCTGTAAGCAGAGCTCATTATGCTGTATATGCTTGTTTTCTCTTTGTAAGATTCAAATACAACAATCTACTTTTCCTCAGGGCTACAACGTGTTTCATTTCTTTTTTTTCATCTCCTCCCCTTCCTTTGCTCACAGGTTGTAGCAATACTGCAGAAGTTCTATGCAAACAATGCAAGTGCACTGGGATTAAATTTCATTAATGAACTCGTAGTGAGGTTTCGCCACTGCTCCAAGTGGGTTGGAAGACAAGCTTTTGCCTTCATTTGTCAGGTTGGAATTTTCATTGTGTCGTTAAATTTGGAACCAGTTTGAGGCTTTCCAATAATGTAGTCAAAGCTGAAATCCAAAATTTCTTAAAATTCTGTAAATTGGTCTGGCCTTGGCAATAGTGAATGGCTGTCCAGTTTTGAAACTGTTGCCTCTGTTGTGCTGTGCCTCTTGCTGGAAAAACTGATCCTTGTCTTTTCTGGCATCCTTGTAGCTGAGATGGGAAATAAGTCCTAGTACGATAACATTCTGTAATGCCTCCTTTGACTTTGCTTGGACAAGAGATACATGGACTTTTTTGAATGTTCAGGCAAAATTAAGGACGAGATAGGAAAGAGTGACAAAAACAGTCTTTTTAACACAGCTCTTGCTCTTATTTTTTTGCTTTTATCTTGTAGGCTGTGGTAGAAGAAGAATGTATGCCTGTTGATCAGTTTGTTGAACACTTACTGCCCAGTCTCTTAAGTCTTGCTTCAGATCCTGTGCCAAACGTAAGGGTTCTGCTTGCCAAGGCTCTGAGGCAGACATTATTGGAGAAAGGTATGGTCTCTAACTTCCTCTCAAAGGTCCATGTCTCATGAATGTTGTCCTTCATCTGCCAGTGCAGTTACTCATAAATTGGCCAGCTTGACTGGTAAAAACTTATTTAGTTCTGTTCATACTGAAAGCACGATGATACATTGCAATCTGGGATATTGCACTTAAATCTATATTCCTAAATCAGAATTTACACATGTATAACAGTGTCTTTTTTGTCTTGAAGTGATTGTTCATCATCCATAAGGGGCTGTAAATTGGCAGGGATAACATATCAAGTGCAGTCCTTCATCCAGTAGGGGGCGGTTGCATACTTGCTTAAGGCAGGAAGTAGCTCTGTTACTCCCTGTTACTGCATGTATTTATTTTTGGTATCTATAATGCTTACAGCAAATATTTTTTATTTCAAAATTTTAAACATCATCTTAGTTACTCTTGCTTTATTTCATGCATTTATTTTGAATTAAGTATATTTTCATTTGATACTTCAAATGAAGCTGTACCTCTTTCTGAAACGGTTTGCTTTGTTTTTGTCTCCAGGTAACAATTGTAGTAGGAGATAATGTTGTTTTCTGTGCTGCTATGATTTTCACTATTATCGTTCCTTGGAAAACAAAAAAAGACTGATTTCTGGTTAATCAAAGCAAGGCACAGAGATTTCCTCTGCTTTTTCTCAGTTAAAGTTATGGCGAGTGTTTTCTGAAACACTGTATAGCTGCAGCTTCCTGAGCCTCTTTCTGTTTGCTGATATGCTTCCATTTAGGAACTAGAAATTCTTCATGTACCTAGTAAGATAAATAAGAAGCTGCATATTTTTATCAGTTTCCTTAGCTTGCTGTAATGTCTCTACAGAGTCTATAAATGAGATGAGAGACCCCCATGTATTTTCAACTTCCTCGGTATTTCTGTGCTGTGTGTGCCCTGTGGTTTAAAAGGTTCTTTTTGGCTTTGATTAAAATACTCATTTTCTCCCTTATTCCAGCTTATTTTAAGAGTGTTGGCAATCCTCACCTAGAAGCTGCGGAGGAGACTATTCAAGCTTTGCAGTCTGACAGAGATCAAGATGTGTCCTTCTTTGCTACCATAAAACTAAGGCAAAACAACATGGACAGTTCTCCCACTGAGAAACAAAACTAGTATGTTCTTCTCCAGTAAGCTCTGAACATCAAAATTATTATTTGCACAGCATTCATGGTTAGTATGAATAAGGTGGACAAACAAAAACTACTTCTTGCCTTCTTGAGTTAAAAAGGGCCTATTGAGAATTGCCATCCTCTTCATTCCATGACTACTTTCCATCTACAACTTTCTACCTTTCTACCTTTGTTTTTGAGCAATTCTTTTTTTTTTTTTTTTTTTTCTTCACAAATGTGGCTGGTAACTGCAGGCTAGGTCAGTTTGGTGTTGTCAGTTCATACACATAGTTTATGTTCTCAGTAATTAGAAATCACTTTGTTTTTTAACAAAACAGTTCCATTAGTTGCTTGCTATAAGCTTGCAATATTTTCTAAACCTTGCAACTTCATTATAGCAAATTTACCTGAAGATATTATTTTCTCAGTCTTATAGCTTTTGTATTGTTTCAAGTATTGCATTTTATTTTAACTGGAGGAATTGTATATATGTAAATAGCTCTTAATTTTTAACAAAAAAAGATGAAGAATTTTTTTCTGTATCAGTGGAAAAAAGCTCAATCATTTCATTTTATAAAGTAGTTATTCTGCTGGAGGTAAAGCACGGTTCATTTTTACTTAATATAATGTGATATTTTTCAAAGCACAGAGCTCTGACTTTTTTTGTGACTTTTCTGTTACTTTATTACTAAACTGTACTCTTACAGGTGTTAATGCTGCTGCTGTTACTGCTGGTGCTTGTAGCTGTAGAGAGACTGTTAATGTCTCAAACTGAAAATTACTCGTTCCATCCTAGTGAAGTTCCCTTCAGCTAAAGGATTCAGTTCTTACTACACGTTAGTATCTTTGGAAGGATATCACAGGATTTTATAGACCTAGGCTCTTTTACAGGTCTCTTTCATGCCCGCTTCATTTGAAGAGCACTGTGAAGTGGGCCAACGTTCAGATCCCCATCAACCTGTCACTTTTTTCATAGGATGTTGAGGACATCTAAGTTCTGGAGAAACTCCACATAGTAAGTGTTCAGGGTAAAGGTGTTAATTCAGTTTGCTCTAGAACTTTTGTTTATTATATGGTAAGTGTAGAGGCAGACAACAGGTGTAGGCTACTGAGATCCTTAGGCTTGAGCAGGACGTGCCTTTTGTTGATTTAGGTCTTTCAGAAGACAATATACAGATGGAACAAAATTCCATTAATCTGACAGCTTCTGACTAGTTTGCAGAATTACAAAGCTGCTAATTCTTGGTGGATGCTGTCTTCTGTTATGCTCCAAACCTACATTACCCCCGTAGGGCCTGAAACAAAAAGAGCTTTATTTTTTTGGTTTGGTTTGGTAGTTTGTCTTGTTCAAGAAGAAAAAGTTCTCAATACTAGAAAAATGGTTTCATGTAATAAGTTACTTTGTGTACCCATTAATTTGTTGTCAGTAGACCTGTGGAGATATTTCTGTCCTCTTATTTCACTTCTTTAAATTATTCTTTAAGACGTGGCATTGTCTGAGATGCAGAGTCCAGCTGAGGAACCTACTTGCTGTATTTTTTAAGGGTACAGTTTTGTATCAGTTTGTCTAACTAGTCTTGTATTATAATGTACAGTATTTGTAATAAATTGTTTTCTTGTGAGTTCGCAATACTTTTGGAAAATAAAGGCAGAAATGTACCATTGCCATCACTGCTCTTACAGAAACAGCATAAGCTGTAAATTTTGCAGCATTCTACATTTAATTTTTTACAATTTTTTTTAATAATTTTAACTGGTTCTACAGACTTTTTATGATTGCAATTTCTTAACAAAGATTATTCAAGTTAATTTTTTCTAGTTCTAATATCTTTTTCTAATGCTGGCTTTATATTGGTATTTTATAACAGTTCAAATTTTCTAAGGCCTTTCTGAGAAGGTTTTACTTCTGTTTTTCTATTACCAGCTCACTAAATTTCTCAGCACTGATCAAAATGTTTGTGTGTATATGTAAGTATGTTTGTAATGTACATGAAGTTGAGCATTGACACAGCCCAGGCTTCTGTTTGTTGGATAATGTTTTGTCACCTTGCAATAATCCACTGAAAAACACACAAGCTTTTGTGTTTTGGCATGTTTGATTAGTGTTCATTAAGAATTTTTAGTTAGAATATATATATATACATATATATAAAAAAAAATAAGCCACCATCTGTAGAAGTTCACTGAAAACTAAATACAGATCTTTGTTTCTGACAGTATTTAATACCTCTCTAGCTCTGAAAATCACATCTGTTCCAAATGGTAAGATTTCATTTGGAGCATTCAAAAATTTGTTTGAACTCTACAGTTGCATGCACTAATGGAGGACACCATAGCTTTTGGGAGTGTCTTTTTTTCTTTTTGTATGACAAAGTGCAGGTCTGTTGGTGCAGGTTTACCCTTTACAAGGTTTGCCTTTTTGTTGCAATTTTCTACTAGAAATGATTTCAGCATGACTAAAGACTGCACTTTACATCTTGTTCTGGACAAATGTATACAGTGATGAGTAAAGCTGTGTGTTAGCATACAATCCTCTGGGTTTAAATTATGCAAAAAAAAAAATGTATTTTAAAAGCCAGACGAAACAAAGTTAGTTAATCCACTTCCACAAAAACAGTATGAATATCACTTTAAAGCATTTCTAGCTAAGGAACATGAAAATAATGTTAGTGGGTGCAATATTGCTTGACTGTTACAGGAAATCATCAAGCACTTGTAATCCAAAGCATGTTAGTCATGTTGCTTGGAATTCAAACTCACTGGCATCTTATGTATGATGTACACTTGGCATCTGTGGGGATGCTGCCCTAGTGGCAGCTGTGACTGTACACAGTGTTGTTTAGAACCCAGTTAATGGAGACACTCTGGAAGTGTCATTCATTTGTCAGAATAGAGAATCTATGTAACTTTCTATTTGTATTTATCTCAATAAAATCTGTGACTGTTTTATAAATCAGCTTGTAACTGACTTTTGTCATTAGTGGGATAAGAATCTGTTCCTTTGGTTACTGAAAATCTCCCTGTCATAAGTGCAATCATCTCTTTAAACCAGGGTCTTTTGGAATTCATCATGATGTGTAATAAAAAATCCATTAGATGTCCGTAGATTTGAAGTAGCTTTCAGCACTTACTCCTCAAAGCAAGCATGCCAGCAGTTCTTTGAAACTTAGATTCTGTCAGAGCTGGAGCTCTAACAAGATATATTTTAAGTGGAAAAGGCTTGTGGATGTGTTGGATGAGAGTGGCATTCAGATCTTTATATTATATCCTTCCAAACTTTAGTTAGGAGCAACATTCTGGACTTCTTTTCAGAGTGATGCCCTCAGACATCCTGCATAAATGAACGATGGTGAAGCTTTTAGACTTTGAGGGGGGGAATGAGTAATCAGCACCTGGCTGGTTGGATTTGCTTCTCATATCAGGAGTCTTCTGTATGTTCTGCTGCTGCAGTCATCCTTTTGTTTGTTTCAGACGCTGGCTGTTCCATCTCTTGCTCTGGAGCTTTTGCCAACTGTTGCAAAAGAAAATATGCTCTCTCCCCTTCTTTTTTTCTCTCCAAGATTTAACATGATGTAAAAATGAAGAGAATGAGCAGCCCCTTGCACCTCCTAGTGAAGCGTTTCCTCACTTTGCATAAAGACAGGAGAAGCCTGTGTAGCAAAAGTGGAAACACAATGGAACAGCCATGTGCTCTTTTTAACACGCATCAAGTTAATGTGTATATTGTGACCTGAACTTGTCCAAAGAAAACAGGAGTGTGAAACGTGGGTGCCTCAGATGTGTACTTTAGTAATTAGTTTTTTTACTGCTTGTCTTCCAAGTAAGTTTGTCATCCTAGTGAAAATCAAGAGGAAAAAGTCCTTCTGCTACCATCTTGGTGTGTTACTTTCTGTGAAGTTCTCTTGCTTTGTTGGTACAGGCTATTACATCACACAAGCAGGGTGCACTTTTGTGATGTCAGTTTATGCTGCATGGATACTGTAACGTGCTAATGCCACACAGGGCTGTCCATCCTTAGTGACATCTATCCTGATGACAGGGGGAGCGCCGAGGGAAGGGAGGAATTACGACTGGTATTGGGCCCCTGTCCTTATAATGGTACCAACCTTTGTTGAGAGGAAAGCCTCAAGCCTTCCCAGTCAGTAACAACTGCATGCCCAGGTCTTCCTTGCCTCTGCAGACCTTTAGCTTCCAGCTCAGGCTAGCTGAAACTAATGAGATATTTTCACTACCTCAGTGCCAGAATGACTTGACGCTGAAGCAGCTCAAGTCTGATTTGGAATTATTGACTGGGATCCCCTTTCATTTCCAGCGGCTTCACTACTTGGATGAAAGTAAGAACCTGTAACCTCTGTTGTTCTTGAAGGTTACTGACAGGTTATTGTTCACTCACCATCTATTTATTATAGTTTACATTTGTTTACAGTCTCTGAGGGTACGCTGACTTGCCTTTATTTTATAACTCCCTTCAGTAGATCTGCCAGACGATTCTACGCTTATGGACAATGATTTTGTCCCTGGTGGAACAATTACAATGCGCATCTGGAGGCAAGATGGCTGGGGGCATCTCGTGGCAGCTGCTGCCAAAGGAGACACGATGAAGGTTGATTCCATTGCTTCTGTGAACGGGTGGGGTGCTGTCTGTAGAAATGCTGAAAGTGTGTTGCTGAAGACTTTAAGTGCTTTTATCAAGGAAGAGTTCATAGGGAAAAGAGTGGGGAATTCCTTAATGGAAGAGACAGTTGTTAAGTAGGTTAGTTGTATTTACTGCAACAGTTAACAGCGAAAACAATGAAACAGCAATCCAAAAACAAGAGAAGTCAATCCTTAATGCAGGCTGTTCTGTTCAGAAATGTCTTTTTGCTGTTATTAGTGGACAGCATATACAGTTGAAGCCCAGTTTTTTCTCTGTCTTGGGGCTTTTTGTAGGACTAATCTATGCTCATGGTTTACTTTTCTTGTTCCTGCTACCTGAAAAATGTTGGGATTTTTTGTTGAGCTGCCTGCTGTTTTATTCTTTTGATGTGTTCTGTAGAAAAGATACTTCATTCCAGTACTTTTCATACAGGTAAGAGAGGTGACGCATAGTATGCAGGAAAGTCCTTTTTCTTAGGTATCTTACACAATCATGAGAGGGCTTTGGATTATTTCTTTTTAGGCATTCAAGAGAGTCTGAGTGACTTGTTTGAATTATGAAATTGAGGCAGAAACTCTTTCTTACTCCATCCTTCTCTGGCAATATTGGCCACGGAGGAAAAATGGGAACTGATGCTCTTTCAAAGCACACGGCAGATTCAAAATCAAGGATCAGAAAACATTTTGCATCCCTTTCGCTTTACCTTCTGTCTTCAGTTTGCAATGCTGTCAAGCCTGATTAGTAAGATTAGTAAGCTTTAATGTTTTTGCAGAACAAATAGTTTCGGTGGCTCTCTGATAGAGGACATGCTGCTTTCTTGATTTAGGACTGAAGTGTTGTCTCAGCAGAAATGCGAGGTACTCTGAGATGTACTGTAAATCTTTAGGCCCAAACAGATGTGATCACGAAATATCCTTTGGTGCCTTTCATAACGAACCATTATCGCTGTTGTCCTGGCCAAATTCCAACTTGGCTAGTTACATTCTGTTCCTCTGTATCTCCCCAACCATTGCCAATTGATGCTGCAGGATTCTTCACTTGCTGTCATTAACTGTTGTGTAGTGTTGCACTTCATTGGTAAGCAGCTGTTCTACTTCATGCCACAAACTGCTTCCATTTTGCCATTGGGCAAAGTGTTTTTTTTTCTCCATGTTTTAAGTTCCTTGTGTATTAGAACCTTCAGTGTGGAGGCAAACAGATGTGCCAAAGGCAGTGGTCTCCTTTGAAATGAAAGACGTATTAAGAGCCCACAAGAAAATTGTTGATAATGATAAAATCTCTCAAATATATTTAATAGAAAAAAATCATTGAAGAAATAACTGTGCAGCTGCTCTATTAATGTGCTTCCTCTTACTAGGTGAGAAGGCCATGGTGCAGTGTTAAAGATTTAGTCCAGCTTGGAATTGCGGCGTTGAGAATAACAGCAGGATGAGGCACCTGAGAATTATGCCTAAAAGGCTTTTTGGCAACACTTGAGATATGTTTTGGCTTTATTGTCAAAAAACCCCACAGACCACCTTATGGAAATAAAATGGTACAAGACTGTATCCTGAAGCAGCTAATGTTTGAGTTGTCCAGAAGAATTAAGGCCTAAAGTCTTAATTAGATCCTAAGGAAGTTGTGCTTACATGGCAAGTGTCTCCTGTTTTTGTTGTCCTCTCCCGAAAACTTAGAGCCTGGTCAGGTTCCAGTGAACTTGAAGAATTTGTGAAGTCAGTAACTACATGCAAAAAGAAAACCTAACTTAATGTTCCCTTTAAGGGATGGCTGTGAAAAAACATCATTAGGTAGCGGCAAATCAAGATAGGGCAGCGCAACATAAAACAAGCATGTGCTATTTAGCTTAACTTAGAATTTATGCAGTATGCTCCATGTGCAGAAAGGAGACTGTTGATATTTTTGAAGAATAAGGCCATCTTTGTGAAAGAGACTAAAAGGTTTCTGTTTATTCTGCAGCTGGCCCAGCTGGGAGTTACAGAAGAGTACGCTGGCACCTCTCCATATGCAAAGATTCTGGGACCGGAGCAGAAAAAGGAGTGGGTAGCACACCGTGCTTTTGTGGCTCTGTTTGTTGCCAGCCACAGAGGTCATGTTAACACAGTGAAGTTTCTCCTGAGTCATGGTAATGTTATGAGATAGACTTATTCTCTGGCTGTTTTTGCATAGCATACCACCTTCCTGCTTACCAAGTTACAGAATTTTACCTGAACTATCTCTCAACTTTTGTATTTGAGTTGGAGAATGCATTTGGCCCATTGGCTCTGGTGTAGACTTGAAAACAATCAAAACTGCTCTTGCTAATTGTAACAAGTTTGATATTAAAGTAGGTAAATTCGGAATGGAAAACGGGAATGAGAATTATTTCCTTGCTTTTGAGCCTCAGTTATTTCTATTTTCTTGTTATCTAAAGATGTTCAGTTTTTCTTGATCTTGTGCAGTGCTTTACAGTCACTGCAATACAAGCAGAGTTGCACATTCTGCTTCCATGGCTCTGACATTTGGGCTCTTTGCCCTTCCTGAGAAATATGCATTGTCCAGCAGTGCTCCTTCCAGCCCAGGTTCAGCGTGGCCCTGTTAAATCTTGTTGAGGGATGGTGCTGTTTTCTCCCAGTGCAGGAGTAATGGCAGCGCTCAGTCGGAATGTGACTTTGTGTGAGCTCTGGCCCGCTGTCCCTTTCTATGAGTCCTGTCACACTCATGCTGTGTTTCTTTGCAGGTGCAGATGTGCACTCTAAAACTCCACTGGGAAGGACTGCGCTGCACGTAGCTGCTATCATGGGCCACTGTGAGTGCATTGAGCTGCTGGTGAGCTGTGGGGCACGAGCCCTCGACCCAGATTGTGAGGGGCAAACCGCAGTGAGGTTGGCCCAGCTCTGGGGCCAGAAGCAGAGCGAGCATGCCCTGATGCACGTCCCACGGCCGCCGGCTGGAGCCAGGCCTTGGTGCAGGGATGGAGCTGTGCTGCAGGCTCATGGCCAGCCGGCCTGATATACACAGGCTGACCTGGTTCTGGCAGATCTGAGGACAGTCAGTAACTTTCCCAATGACACGCACTTTAAATAGAGGTCACTGAGTACCTTTTGTAGGGTTTTGTTATGAAATAATGTCATATTCTGATGATGCTGCAGCTAAGGTGACAGCTAGCTCAACCACATAACCCTTGAGCGTGTGCTTTATTTGTAATTTAAGCTTTTTGGTAGTGCTGCTTTAATTTCTTTGAGTTTAAAGTTGCCTTTTTTTTCTTTTCTTTTTTTAATCCGTGGATGTTGAGATCGGGAGGTGGCAGTGGGGCAGCAGGGGGCGTCCCAGCACTGCACTCAACTGCAGGCAGCAGTGCTGCATCCTCCCCTGACGGTGGTGCTCCGACTGTCTCCAGAATAAGGGGATAAATATCCCTGACTTCTTCCTGGGAGCTAAAGCAAGGTTCAAAACCTTAGCCTATGGAAGCCAGTTACTGTGGGAGAGCATATAGCAAACTGTATATGTGCTGGCATTGGTCTGAACAAACACAGAATTCCTGCTGTAACGATACCTTTTAGTACTCTTTAAAAAAGGCTCACTCTCTGGTTTCCTGTTGGTTATTAGTTCTACCTGATTCAAACATACAGATGTTGGGTAAATGCAATGACAAGATCACGTTCTATCAAAGTGATCAATGGATAAGATATAAAACGGTGTTTGATGTCGTGCTGAGCAGTTGGATATTGTAAGCAGGATTATGCAGAGAAATCTTTAGAAATCCGTTATTCTTTCTTTGTGTTGTCTGTCTAGACTGTCTGATCTGTGCTTAGGCTTCTAGAAAGGAGGAGAGGATTTGTAGTTGCTTTTAGCCATTATGCAGCATAACTTGGGAGAACATAAGAATGTCATACACAGAGAGCTGAGTGTCTTCAGGATGAGAATTCCAGAAATGGTAGAAAATTATGTAGTATACAGTCATGGAGGGCAGATAGCAAGTATTGCTTGCTGGTAGCTGGAAACTCACCCTCAGAAAAGAAAAAAGAAAAAAAAAAAAAGAAAGAAATCCTAAATGTGTTGTGGCTGGGAAATGAGTGTACACTGATCCAAAATTTGATGGGGCAAATCAGAAGAGAATTAACATCTGGACAAGGCCAGCACTGGAACAGTGTGTGCTCGTGTTTTTCTTAGATGAGAAAGGAGAACCCAAGCTAAAGAGAGATTAACCAGAGGAAAGGAAGGAGTTTGTCCTCAGGAGAGGAGCAGGAACACGAGGCATTCTGTGTTGTGGTTGTTACTTCCTCTTCTCTGTGCTACAGTACAGAAAGAGGATCAGTCTTCAGAAGAATTTAGTGAGGACTTATTAATGAGCTTTGGGATTCTCAGATAAAGGAAGAGGCTGACTGTTATGAAGAAGAAAAGGTATTAAAATGCTTTGGGTTTAATTTGGCCCAGGGCAGGACAAATGTCTCAACTGTCTCTTAGTATTAGGAAATCCAAAGCAACTCTTTTGGAAGGACTGTTGGTGGCCCTGCATGTGGCAGGAGGGTTGGAGATTCATGATCCTTGGGGTCCCTTCCAACCCTGGCCATTCTGTGATTCTGTGACTGTGACTCCCATGGATGTAAAAACCAAAGTTAAATAAAGATGACAAGCACAGCAATAATTCAACACACTTTCTTAGTGTTACAGATCACCCCTTCCATTGCCTGGGCAGAGACCAGTACTGTTGCTCATAGCCATCACAATGACTGCTGCTCCCTCAGAGCCTTGAGAAAGCCAGAGCTCAGCAAGCCTGACACTGGCTGCTGCTACTTAGAGGTAGTTGCTGTAACCAGTGACAGCCTTGGATATCTATAGACTGTCACCTTTGATGATAACTCCGAATAATGATATGTTCCCCAAACATTTCCCCTTCCTCTAGAAACATTTCTAACTTTAACTGAGTTATACCTGTTCCATATTTGTCTGTAGTGCAGAATGTCGTGGCAATCATGACATTCATTTTTCAAAGTGAATCAAATGAATAGAAATTGTTAAATGCTGGAGTACAATACAGCTCATAAAACCCAACATCAGGAAAGTTGCACTGATTGGACTCTTAGATGCTGTTTTCCTTTTGCTTGGGAAACAGAATTGTAGTCAGCTTGCAATCTCCTCAACATTGTTCATGGAGGAAGCAGACAAAAAATACCAATGGCTGCAATTTAGTTAATTTTATGCTAAACACAATCAGCATTCAAACTGGGAGTTACCAAGTGGAAATGTATTGATAGAGAAGCCAAAATATTCTCTGTGAGTAGATGGTGAAATATTAAAATCTCAAATAGACTCCTGAAAAGCCCGTAACTGTGGGGCGGAGAAGATGCAAAGGTGAAGTTTGGCCCTGCTGGAGTCAACAGGAGGTCAGTGAGGTCACGAATTAATCCTCGACATGGGAGGTCATGACTCTGTGTGGTAGGAACCAGTGCAGCACTGGTATAACATAAGGCCTTGTAACAACAAAGACAACGATTAAAAAAAAAAAAAGAGATAAAAAAAAGGTTGCTGAGGATCTGTCTGAGTCAGGACTTATGTAGGAATGCTTTCTCTGCCATCAGCTTTCAAATTTGCAGCATGCCTTGCATTGCAACCACCAACTGTGTTCAAAGACAACCAGAATTTGGTTGTGAACTTTCTGAGGATCGTGTTGACCATTAATGTTTAGAAAGGATAGCGGTTCACAGAAGGAAGCCAAAACCTATATACTTTCTAGCATGCTTCCAACATCTATTATGCTTCCAGCATCCCGTTTAGGTTGGTTTGATGCCTGACCTACACTGCAATTGAGGTTAGTGCTTTGCTTTTCCTTGCAGTTCTCCATATGGTATTCTGTTTGCAAGATTTGCTTGACATAACTGTCTGGTATGGTTTGTTGGTGTTTTGCTAGGATTCCTGTGTGTTCAGAAGCTAATAAAGGAACTGTCAACTCAAAGGCCTGTCTTAAAATGTGGCCCTACTGGCTTGGGATAAGAAACGCAGAGATTCCTCTTCCAAGCCTCTTCTGTGGAATTCGTGATGCTATTTCAATTCCTTTGGTTTCCAGTAACAAAAAAAAACAATTGGGGTCAAGCAGAAGTCAAGGTATAAAAATTAATCACTGTGAGCTTCCTTACTTGTAAGCTGGGCCATATGTTAAAGGAATGAGCAGTTCTTATATCTCTTGATGAGTGTTTGTATGCATCGTTCAAATGTACATGTGTTTGAATTCCAGCCTGTACTGATTGAATTGGTCTATGATAATAAACAGGATAAATAAATCAGATGAAAGTAAAAGCACTGATGTGCTTGTAGAATTGTGCGGGATTAAGTTCAGTACTATGACCTTGAGCAGGATGTAATTTCAAAAGTGCCTTAATTATGATGATGACATAAAATAAGGCTGAGGAAGCTGGAAAGGCAGAGAGATAGGAGGCAGAGGGACAAAACAAACTCATTTGGAATGACTTGGTTTTAGCAGGATTACAGGCTGATAAGTGGCTTATGTGGCTTATGGTAGGGAAGTGCAGGGCCAGGGAGCATAGGCAGTCAGACTCCAATTGGAGTGGTGTGCAGTAGAGATCAGAGCGTGGCTAAAAGGGCACATGCAGCATTGGGGAAATCGTTTCTAAGGTGAATTGCTGCCTTGGTGCTTCTTTTCTGACGGAGATCTGCTGCACAGCTGTGCTTGCTGCACAGCTGAGGAACTGCTGGCCCTGTTGAATTCAACCCCCATCCAGCAAAGCACCTCCTCCTGTGATTACACTACTGTAATAACAGTGATGAAAGAAAGGTGACTTCTGTGTACTTGTACCCCATGTTTCTATTATCCATTGGTTCTCCATAGCACATGGCAGCGTTAGAGCCTTCATCCTTGGAGTTCCTTTGTCGGTTCAAGCTGTTGTCACGCGCCTCGCTAATACCCTCTAGTAATTTTCTTATTCACATGCACACTTAATGTCCTTAGTCATTAGACTGAAAAATGTTAACCTTGTCATAGTTAGTGACTGGAAGCAGAAAAGTCCATTTAGTTCTCAGGGGAATGAATTCTAATTTTCTGCTTGTCAGAAAGTGACATTTTACATATTTTTCTCTCTCTTTTTTTTTTTTTTATTCCCACCATTTTAGTGCTGAGTTTAAATGTGTGTGTCATAGGAATAGACTTTTTGTCTCTGCTAAACACCCCAAAAGGCTTGGCAGGTATCCAATGCATGACCCTCTTGACCAACAGCTACTGCTTGAGCTTGTCTCGTGCGCTGAGGAGAATGGGAGGTGAGAGCGAAAAGTTAGCAAGGGGTTATTGCTGAGGGCATATTAATGTTGCATGTCAGAATGCATATTTTTTATCCTGGAAAATATGGATGAAAAGCAGCTCATCTGGAATAAAATATCCAGTGAAGAAACAAATTATGTTAATCAAGCAGGCTCGTACTAATGTTAGTCATTAAGATGTGACACCTTCTATATAATGTCACAGGCTGCTGCAACCCTTTGAGAAGAGTGCTGGTTTGAAGGCAGCTTGTCTGTGGTTATTGAGTTCACTGTTCTGTGAAAGGGAATAACTTGTGTCTTGAAAAATAGATGGCATTTATGGCAAAGAGAAATCATCCTCCCACAGATTACAGCTGTTCTTTGCATTGTTGTGTTGGTGGTCTTATCTCATCAGTGGATATTTTCTGTGGTTTTTTTGGTTGTTGTTTTGTTGTTTTGTTGTTTTGTTTTTGATACATTTCCATAAAGCTGTTCTGGGGAGAACATTTTGTGCTGGGAGCTGGATGTATTTTGAGAAAGAGACACCACTACAAAGAACTCGGAGTCTAAATTGAAAAGATGGATGAAGTGAAAATGAGGAATGGTTGTTTTGCTTCTTACAGATGGGAACTGAAGCAGGAGATTGTGACTGTTGTGGCCAAAGTCACCCTGGGAGTCCACAGAACTGCATCCTGATCTTTGAAATCCAATTTCAGTATCTTTATCACGTATTGCCTTTCTGTTCCCTTGCTGCTGAATCTAGATTAAATATGCATGTGTAGCGAGATAAACATGTTCTACATGTGTTTAGCCAAATTCTGACCTTAGGGACATGAAACAAGCTCTCACTGGTGTAGATAGGAGTGCTTTCATGAGTGGATTCAACCCAAGGAATACAAAACAGCGTTGGCATTTAGTTCACCAAACATCCTCTTGTAGGCCTGAGGTGGAACTGGTGTTTTAACCAACTTCAGCCTCTCTGTGAGGTCTGGAGAAGGCATGCCAGGCCAGAGGGTAACAAAACTGTGGGGCTGATTGTCTGACTCCTATATTGCCTGCACACCAGATACTGATTAATGATTTGCATGTAAGAAATTAATTAATGGATGCTGTAGGTTTTTGAGGGAATAGTGTGTACTTATCTAATTCTTCATATAAAAAAAAAGGGGGGGGGGGAAGGGGGAAGGAAATGGCCAGCACAGAGCCCTTCCTCAAAACAGCATAAAACAGCATGAGATTCTGGCTCACTGGGTGTGATGATCCTTTCTCTTGTCTGGATGCTTCTGTTATACCAGGAGTACTGTCTGCGTTGTGTTATTCAGCTCCAAAACAACTGTAGCAATGCTGCCAAATGCACAATGAGAAGAATACAAAACGCATTCTAAATAATTTCAGCATTTATGTGGTTTTGGGTCTTCTGTGTTTCATGAAATCTCAACAGATTGTTTGCTGCAGCAGGACCAGAAGGCCGATAGGTGCAGAGCAGAGCAATGCCTGTCCCTGCTGACAGGGACTGGTTAGCAACGGCTCCAAGGTATGACTGAAAGGAGATTTAAAGCAGATTTAGGGAATCTTCTTTCCTCCTTGCTTCTTAAGTGTATAATTCTGCATGAATACATCATGGAAATCTTCACTGTAATTTGCCGGGTATGAAGAAGATTGTTTCTTCTGAAGTTAAATAGCACTGATCCAAGGTGAAGGAGTTGGTCCTAAGCTCTCTGTTGCTTATAGCCAGCCCACAAAAATGTTTATTTTCTCAGTGCCGTACCTTAAACAAATAGGAGCACAACAAATATGGTGAAATGTTTTGCTCTGAACCATGGCGAGAGCTGTTGAAATTGGTCTTTTCCCATTTGCATACAAGTAACTCAAATGATTAATGGCATTGCTTCCAGGAGAACAAACATCAGCAGCGCTCCCTGCAAGCCAAGGAGTTGTCTGGTTGGCCCTGCAGTGAGTTACCTTTCCCCTGACAAAGTGCCCTGGTCAGAGCCATCCAGAAGTGCAAGCTGAAGAAAATTCTACAATCTTGAAGAGTCAGGGGCCATCTCCTGGTGTTCCGTGCTGCAGAGAAAGAGCAGGAAGTGTTGGAGCTCTTTTCTTCCTCACAGTCCCTGACCCAGCAGCAGCGCTGCTGCACAGACCCACCGTGCCCTGTGACAGAGGCGCACAGCCAGCCTGACTTCTCAGGACCTGGGCTTAAGCAAGAAGGGCAGTTTTGTTACCCCTGCTTATGTCTCACCAGAGAACTGACTGCAGCCACGGCAGAAGCAATGTGCAGATGATGCCCCTCTGCTCAGGTGAATGGATAAGCAGTGTCCCTTCCTGCTTTTTCTCCAGCCCATGAGGCATTGGCATTGTTCAGTAACTATACCTTGGCTTCTGCTAAAGGACTGTTTGCTCTTTCAGCAAGCGTAGTGCTGAGATGGAAGCTGCGCTGCACATAATGGGGAGCACAAGAAATGGCTGTGGATTTTATTTAAACAAAGGATAGGAGTGTGCTCTGGCAATAAGAGCATAATGTCTGCTTGGTTTTTCCAGACAAGGACAGTGCCTTGCTGGTTGGTTTTTTGTTTTGTTTTGTTTGTTTTTTTTCAGGGAGGGGTGGGGGGAGGGAGCCTCTTGTTTGTGTTTTTGCTCCAGCTTTTAAGGATGAGAATGTTGTGTCTGACGCATGTCAGCAAGCAGAGGAGATTTACTAGCATGGCTGGGTTTGTCTTGCTCCCCTGTGATGAATAAAAGCATTAACCGTCTCTCACTTCAGGAGGAGAAGGGGGGCTGTTTTCAGCCTGCGAGAAGTGAGAAGGCTTTGTCAGGTTTGGGTCAGGCAGAGCACAGGGCTGTGTGCTGCTCAGAGGGCCGACGAGCCGGGTGTCACACGGCAGCCTGCAGGCACCGCTCGGAAAGGCAAGAGACAGCAGCGTGCGTGTGTGCGTGCAGGGCGTGGGGGCGAGGCTGCCGTGTCCTGTTTTGGTGAGAGGCTGTTTGCTACAGCAACGATCCCTCTGGAAAGCAGTCTCAGAAAGATGGACTGAATAAAGAGCAGAGAGAGAAACGGCCGTTTCCATACTCCCTGTGCAGTTGTCTGAACTGTTACAAGCATTGCTTAACAAGATGCCTGCCCGGTTGTGATCCCGCTCTGTACATATGAGGCCTGATCCTGTGGTCAAATGTATCCAGTGGAGCTGTGTAACTACATGACTGAAAAGGATGGGGGGGAGAAGAAAGGATCCTCTTTGTTCTGTTTATTTCTGTTTCTTCTGCAATGTGACTGCATCTATTTTGATGCTTTGAAATTCTCAGGTTTATTTCAATCGCGGCTTTTTTATTGAATCACACAATGCATGGAGGAGAAAGATATGAAGGGAATTGCCAAATTTACAGTTGGGTCGAGCTTTGGCAACGTACGTGAGAGTAGAAGATGTAGTTTATATTAATAAAAATGTGTTGTACTGACTCATCACTTCATAATTTCAGCCATATTTCAATATAGCTGTGTAGCTGTGCAGTACATATCACCAAAAGAGGCTGCAGAACCTTATCATGTGATAAGGAAACAGTAGAGCTTGGAATAGAGACCTGGTCAGCTGGCTCACATTAAAGTCTATAAATATGTGTTATCTGTTATTATAATTTTCTTAGTGATGCAATGCTTTCCTCCATTCCAAAACAGTTAAAGGAAACTGGAGAATCCCTAAAGTTGTAGTTTGATTCATTATTGTAATAAGCATGCAATGGCCGTGGGTTTAAAGATCCTTCAACACAAAATGAATTCAGACCAAACCCTCATAACTTCAGCTGGGTAAACTTCAACACAAACACAGAATGGCCCGGGTTGGAAGGGACCTCAGGGATCACGAATCTCCAACCCCCTGCCACAGACAGGGCCACCAACCTCCCTATGTAACACTAGGCCAGCTTGCCCAGGGCCATGGGAGAAGTGTAGGAAAAACTGAGAGTTTTCTCAGTTTGTTAACAGGAAATGCAGAACTTTTAGATAATTCCTACTGAAAAGAAGGAATTTTTCACTCCTGGGTGAAAAACAA